AGAACCAGCAAACAGACCAAGAAGGAGCTGCCAATGAAGACAGAAGCCAACCGCAGTCTGTGCCCTTGGAGCCTAGTAAATTATTTCAGAAGGAAGAGGGGATAAGCACATCAAATAGGTTTGACAGGGAGAGTGGACCATTCATTGAGCAAGGGGAAAGTCCGTGATGACCTGGACACAACCAGCTCAGTGGAGTGGTGTGGGCCCAGCGAGTCTAATGAAGCATGGGAGCAGAGAACTGGAGCAGTTCCCGCTCACGTTTCCCTGGAAAGGTAAGCAGAGATGTAAGGCACAGGCAGAAAAGTCAAGGTATCTTTTGCTTAAAAAATGGTAGAAATAAGTGCATGCTTGTATGCTAAAGAGTTTGCCCCAGTTGGAAAGTGTGATAATGAGGAGAGGGGATGTGACCTAGTGCTGAATGGAAACAACCCACTTAGGAACACAGATGGTATCCGGCAACAGGCCTTTACAGTAGATCCCGCTGCCTTCAGATGAATAGCTTTAAATACATGAGGAAGAAAGAAAACACATTCAGTATTCCTGCTAAGAAGTATGAGCATTTAATGCTACTATCTCTGAAGGGAATGAGGCAAGAAGGGAGGGAAAAAAATCTACAGAAAAGAAACAAGTTTAGATGACTTACCAAGATCACACATGCATAAGCTCTTTGAAAACAAGTTTTGGAAAACAAGCGATTTGGGTAGAAAAATCTTGACTATTTTGCATGTCTGACAACCCCCAAAAACATTTTCAGCATTGCCTAGATCATATCGTATGTTCTTATACAGATGTTTAAAACTTTGGTCTAGGGGCATTTGAGTGGCTCAGTCAGTTGAGCATCTGCCTTCGGCTCAGGTCATGATCCCAAAGTCCTGGGATCGGGTCCTACAACGGGTTCCCTGCTCAGTGGGGAGCCTGCTTCTCCCGCTCCCTCTGACATTACTCCCCCCACTTGTGCTCACTCTCTCTCTCAAATAAATAAAAATCTTTTTAAAAAATAGAATTTCTATTTTTTTTTCCTTAAAATATATAGGTCCTCATCAATTTTCTCAACCTCTCTTATATCACATTTTCGTTTTTCCTCACCCCCTCCCCACCATGTGAGACTCACTGGCCCATATTCCATAAGCACCAGGATGCTCAGGTGCTGAGAGCACTACACTCACATCTTTAAGTTGAATCAACTTTCAACTTTTCAACTTTCAATGAGAATCCCAAGTGTTCCAAAAGCATTACTGGTTTTAGGCTCAGGGAGAAAATCAGTAATGGTGATGTTTCAAGAGAAAGTTTAGTCTGAAAACTAGATTTAATTTTATTGTACAACTTAACATAAGACATTCATTTTATTGTTTTCCTAAGTGCATGCGATTATCTGGAATATACAATCAATTCTACCAATCTATTATAAAGGACACTAATCCTGTGTATATGTATATTTTAACCAAAATCTTACTGTATGTGAAGTAAAGGTCATAGACAATAAATGTATGAATTCAGAAAGATTCATTCGGGTTTTGATGAACCATCAACTTTCTGTATCTCAAGGTAAGTGTAATCAATTCTTTATTCTGTCCTAAATTTCCATCTATGGCTAGGCTCTGAGTGCTGAAGTTTACATACTAGATCGTTCAACTTATCGGTCTAAGAGGTAACAGCTCTCAGCTGTCAGTGGCTGAACAATCACCTGCGAGCATTTAAAATGCAGATGCCTGGGCCCCACTCACAAATGCTCCAGTAAAGTGGGACTGAGCTAGGACCCAGGAATCTGAATTTTTACAAGGGCCCTCATGGAGAAAGAAACGTATCAGTAAAGACTTGAAGAAGTAAGTGAATGAGGTATGAGATCGTGAGATGCTATAGAAAGCTTTAAAGGGTTTTCCTTGGGCAAGCACAAAAACACCATTCTACTTTCAAGCCCCCGACAGGTTTAAACTATTTGTCCCATGATGAAGCCCCCCGCTGCAGAGAACCCTGCAGCGTGGGTCCACAGATCCCTGGTTCTCCAAGGCTCTAGTTTGGGGGTCAGAAAAGCAGGGCGATCCTTGCTCGGGCTTGTATACAGACAACACCAGGCTGCGGAAGGGACAAGCTGCCACTCCCTGCCTGTGCAGAAACATCGCCCTCATCCCTTAGGGGCAGGAGGAACCCAGGCACTCCCAGGAGACCGCTGCGGCCTCCCATGTAAACCGCACTTCTCTGGGAGACTGGAGCTCACAGATGCAGGAATTGCAAGGCTCTTTCTCACCCTGACTTCCTGACTTCATCTCTAATGCAACGTTATATTAAGTGTCATTAAGAAACGTCATTAAAGATCCTATCTCTGCTGTCAATTTATACTACTACATAGAAAGATGATGAAATGAGCCAGGACAACACAGAAAAAAGTAGCAAACTTTTTTTTTTTTTTTTTTTTTTTTTTTTTGGTGGAGTGATGTTTTCTAACTCTAGATGCTGTGAAAGTGGCAGTGGTGCCTTTTGCCTTTAAGCAAAACTGCTTTGGAAGACAACTGTATTTTATTTCCTTTGGTATTTTTCTTTTAAAAAAAAATTAAAAGGCAGGAAGGTAAAGTGACAACCTCAATGAGGAATGACTCTCTGTCAGATTATGAGTAGAAATTATTCTCCGTAGCTTACTGTGTACTATTCAAGAGGTGGAAAGGAATTTAAAAAGATACGTCATAGTTTGTTGTAGTTCCTGCCCTTGAAGGGACTTACATTCTTCTCGGGAAGACAAGACAAAGCACATCAAAAGATAGACAAGTTAACAGCACCAGAGATCATAGGAAGATGAGGGACTTAATTAAGCTGGACCTCGAAGACTGGCAAAGAGGAAGGCGGCTGGGGAAAGCAGTGAGGCAGGGCGGCGTGGCCTGCCAGCCAGCGGTAAGAGCCCAGCTCCGCGGAGGCATGCCGCCCAGCAGGCCTGCGAAGTGGGGGATGGCAGCCAGATAGAGGACTGGTGGCCACGCTGCAGATATGGACAGCCTTGGAGGTCAAGTCAAGGAGTTCAGAATTTGACAAATAAGAACATTCAAAGAGTTTCACACAATGCAGTATTTGGGAATATTAATGTGTTAGAGATGTGTAGGACTGATGGGCACAGACAGTACTTGGGGGCAGTTAGAAAATTACCAGAAAAACCCAAATTCCGGGTGATGGAGACCCAGAGAAGAGCAGCACTAATTATTACTAGAGTTACGGGCTAGTTTCATAAACTGTAATGAAATTGAGTTGTGCTACAGATGTAACATCAAGACTTTTTCAAAGGATGTTATCAAAATGAAAATTTAGGAGGTGTGTGACAGTTTTGAAACCTTCCCAGTAGTCGATCATTTTAATGATCAACATTATGAAGGGGACAGAAATGTTATTGTTTTTACATTTTACTTAAAAGACTGTGACTCGTACTTCACTTTCCAGGGGCAGTCAGCTCTGCACTGTGCTTTCGGGCACTGCCCCGAAACCGTCTTCAGCCTACTCATGGGGAGAAATCTGGCTTTCAAGAGGTTCATGAATTTCAGGAAAATGAAAAGCTTGGCTTACACCTAAATACTGGAAACTCCCCAAACTTGGCAGTGATCTTTTAAGTGTTCCAGATCACCTATTGTTCAAAGTGGATAATGGATGAGTTCCTAACTAATCATCAGACAAGCAGAAGAAAATCTGTTTAACACTCAAAAGTAGAATTTCCCCGATTCTGTGAAATAACATGTTCCTAGAGGAACAGCCCCTCAAGAAGTTGGTCTGAGTACCAAGATTCTGAATGAGCAGTCACCAAATGCCTCTAATTTATTACAGATGATTGTCTGGGAGGAGAGACAAATTGTTTAAACCTCATTTTTTTCTGTTATTCTTAGTTCGAGGCATGTCAAGGATGCGGACCATCTTGGACATATCTATGTGGAAACGAGCACATTCTAACACCCCATACCCAGGCCACCCTCACTGCAATGATTCCTCTGTCTCAACTATAAGAACGCTGGTTTTTTTTACAGCTTACTTCTAAAAAACAGAATAAGGTATTGCCAGCCCTAAGTTTTCATTCTGACTTGGTGTTTTGGAGCAACCCCTGTGTGTGAGCCACTAAAGCACTGATGTTGTTGCCCCTTCTTTCCAGACTGAAGAAAATCTTTTTAAAAAGAGGATGTAGCTGAAGAAGTGCTTTTCCCCCCAATCCATCCGTTCATGAGTGAATGGAACACTCAGGATCACTAAGGGATCTTTGAGTCCTGAATACTCAGTAACACACAGACTCTGCACTGTTCTCATCGGCAGCACAACCCACACAAGGGAAAATGTTTCCTTGGCCTCCCAGTTTCAAGAGAAATCTTTGTTCCCTGTACTGATTTTCATAACCACGGAACAAGAGAAATACTACTCTCCGGGGTCTCTTCCTGTTCAGAGAGCAATGTGTCTATAAGCTTTGAACCTCCTATATTATGGCTTAAGTGCAAATTCTCCACAACTCGGATTGGCAACATGTAAAACACAACTCTGTTCATTGATCCTTTGCCTCAAGAGATGTTAGGTATTGGCTTGGGTTTTTGGAAGACATACGGCAAGACAGAACTGGCCCCTGGCATCGTGTGTACTAGCCTGAGAATAGTGGGATGAATTCCTAAGGTAAGTGCCTAGGAAGCATAAAACTCACATGCACGTTACATGCTCAGTATTATCGTGGGGGAATGACTTCAAGTTGGAAGTTTTTGTTCTTACAAACATTTATTTTCTTCCAAATTTACTGTGTTCCTGTAAAGCTGTGAAAAGTCTTCATTTCCCTTTTCCCAAGTGCTGAGGTTCAAAAAGCCAGCTCTCACCCACAGACTAATCTTCATCTCTTCAGGGTCTTGTATGTTGATTTAGTTTCATATGTAAGTATTTATACTAGTTGTTCTCAGGGATTTATACATCAATATATATAAGTATATATATTCCTACACAGATATATACAGGCTTTTTATCCTCATCTTACCACTTGACAATACAACTTTAAATATGTTTTACACAGCTGTTCCTTGGTCAAGGTCATTTGCAAGAGCAAGTCGGTTTCTGAAGAAATCTTGTTTGGTGGGTGAAGGATCCATTGAGGGATTCTCATTAGTTTTTTCCCTGTATTCTGATCCACTGGACCTAAAATCTCAGCACACAGATAAAGTACAGGTTGATTTGGTTTTAATTGTTTTCAGATATTTTATCCAAATTGTTTTGCATTTGTAAAACAGTTGCCTCATAGATCTGGAATAATTTTTACTTCCCTTCCATTTCATGACTCAGGACATGTGTAACTAAAGTTTGCAATGAACGTAAAGAGAATATCTTTCTAATGCTTTACGGAGACAGTTGTGACAACTATGTATGTCAGTGTAAGATATTGTGTATAACGTAAAGGGGAAATAAAAACTCAGAAAATTGAGGAAATCCTATTTTTGATTCAACCAAGTAACTACTCCACCAATTACCAAGGCCCTTAAATTCAAATGGATGGGATTCATTGTTCTCAGCCAAGGTTATCTATCAAGGGCCATTACTGAATTTGGGCATTACATTACAAACTCTTGCTTTTGCTTGTTTTCATTTTTAAATGAAAGATTTATTGAAGCCAACCACACATATATGCCACATTTGGCAGGATGCAGAAATTAGTACAGTAGTCAGATTGAGGAGATTCTATCATCTCAACCACCATGAAGGAGACCAAGCCCAATCAATAGTCAACAACTCAGATCAGTCCAATTGAGTCCCCAGTCGAGGGTGCATTCTTCCTTTATCTTGGTTAAGCCAGTTGGGTAATCCATTCCAGCTCTGCACCTTCTCCAGATTGTTCATGTCAGAAGTCCCTGGAGGGAGGAGGCTTTCTGGAAATAACCTCTGATAAGCTACGCTGGGGCCCTTTGACTAACTTAAATTCTGAGCTAGAATGGGTAGAACTAGCCCGCTAAGAACCAGTATCAAAAGACCTCATGTAGGATGTATGCAAGTGATGTTATTGAAGTTCTTTGTCCAAAGCTCCTAGACAAATGAACAAGTTCTCCATATGCTGAGGCAGAATCGAGCATGCTTCCACTCTCCACAAAAGAAGGGTAAGTTCTTTCACTGTCTTTGGTATGCTATGAGTCCTCACTGCTGCTGTTAGATAAGTTAATTGTGACTCTATCATTTATTGCATTAATTGGGCAGAATTCAAACATCCCTTTACATTATCCAAGGAAAGAAGCTGGATCCACACAAAGACTAAAATCTTGATGTCTGGAAACCTAATGACTGACTGGATGTTTTCACTATTCACCCTGATACTTGGTATCACAGATGAAGCCAGAGCTGCCCACCATGTTTTCTACTTCCAGTCAGGAAGCAGCACTTTTCCACTACACTCCAGTGCACAGAGGAAAAACTATTCTTTCTCTCAACACCAGTCCATCTGCGTGCTCATCAGATAAGATTATATCTTATCTTGTGGGGTGAAAGTCCTTTGCCTTTTCAGAAGCCCCCTTGGAACTCTCCCTTGAAACAGCCTCCACATGCCCCAACCTAAAACTCCTTGTCTTCTCTCAATTCAGAATTCCCACCTACCTACAGTTCAAATCCTCCCTGAGTAGTACAGTTGTGCCCAAAATGTTACGAAGATATATTTTTGACAATTTTATTCTTTCCCCTTATCTTCGGCTATCCAGAAGGCTAGGAATACCTATAAGTTTGGGGGTGGGAAATAGGAAGCAAGATTTGAATCTGGCTGGTGTTTCTTCTGAATGGTTCCCCCCATGTGGCTGTTTCTCATCAGAAAATCATCAGTCAAAACTTAAAATCTTTACTTCACATTTCCCCCTCTTAGCTATATCTGATCTCTTCAAAACCCAATATGTCATACTTTGATGGTTCCAACATGCAACTGTTTAGTGTTTACCTGGAAATGGGAAAGTTTTGATGTCACCACCAGCCCCAAGGACCACAGAAATCTTCACCAGTTGCGTTCCCATTTCTGAAACAAATGCCAAAATCGCCCTGTCTGGTTTTCAAAGTCCACAAACTCAGCTTAGTATTTTCTTTTTTTAACTGCTCTTCTCACAAACCACTTTCTGTGTGTCTCCAAGTATTTGAATTTCTCTGCATTTCTTGATATTAACTATTAATTAACTAATGACTATGTTGCTAATCCTCTTCAAAATCCAGCATTCTACTGTAGCCATGACTATACGTTCAGTTTTATCCTCTTAAGGACAATTTTAACTCTATGCAATGCCTACATAGTATGTGGCCACTTGGACTCTTCCCGGTGTGTGGTCGTTAAGCTTTGAAGTAATGTATAAATTACCAGGAAATAACCTGCAGGATCTAGGAAAAGGGGCCAGTGAATTTGCTTTTATTGCCTTCCTCTATAAAACAGAAATGGCTTTTGCGCTCCTGGGGCCATTTTGGTTGACTGCAGGGCACATCTGAGCAGACACTAGAGGGACGGGCAGGCAAATGCTTGCTGGATAAGGGGACAGTGGCTGCCAGTACATTCGGACACATAGCAATCCAAGTGCTTGATGGAAAGAGAATAATCGTCGCTACGTTTCCTTCCACTCAGTCCACAGAGACAAAGAAAATAACAAGCTGGGGAGGTCATACACATATAGATCTGCTACAAATAAGCCTTGTAAGTTTATTTGGAGCTGGGGAAGGGAGGAGGGGTAGAATCCAGTGCCGTGGAACCCTATGACCTAAGAAGGGGTGGTTTTCTGATTGGAAAGATTGTCTGCTGTGCAAGCTTTAGGAGACCTGTGCATGGAAAAGTAAGGGAGCAGGGGACACCCATCCTGTCGCCCAAATCAGTTGATCCTGGTAACCAACAGGGTGACAAATGAGCATTCGTATACTGTATGTTTGTTGAGTGCTTCCTATGTTCTAGCTACTGAACCTTCAGCTAGATTACCCTTGCATTTGAACTGTCAGCTTCTAATGGGCTACAACTATGTCTCTTACTTCTTTTGTGCTAGACAGAGCCTAGTACACTAAAGATATTTAACTTAGTGATGGATTTCAAATGACCTATTAAGACACATTTGTAATGAGGTTTATGTCATCTAAAATGTTATGCCTTCAATCATCTCCTTTAATTTTGAAGTGATGTAGGGAGACGAGATGGGAGATGAGAGAGGAGCCCAGAGTGAGTAAGAAATGGGAGAAGGACTTGAGATAGGCTGGGAGGAGGTAAAGAAGGTGGGGTAAATTATCAATTAGTTCTTTGGTAGTCCTGCTTCCTATTGCATGGTCTGTTCCACAGCCGAGGCTGGGCATTTACAGAAACAGCTGAAAAGATACCAAAGAAGAGGACCCACTGATGTTCAGTTACATGGAGCCCTGAAGACATATTCTGTGTGTGTGTGTGATTAAGAAAATAGAGATTTTGGTGTGACTGGTGCAGGGAGAGTGATGATGTAGGAAGGAGACAGTCTGAGGTATATACATTATAAAATGTTAGAGGAAAAGAATGGGTGAGGAAGCAGAATTAATCATTTGGAAGCCATATTATTTTTCTTTTACTCCCCCAAATTTGAGGATAAAAAGAGCCTCTCTACTCTGTACCCCTAAACTGTCTTACATAACCCTCTTCCTCCATACCACACCCCCAACCAAGAATACTTATTAAACTAAGTGCAAGATTTATACATAAAGATAAAGTAGCATTTGCCTCACGCTTCAGAGTAGTCTAGATATAAGTCCTGAAGCCTCCATATACAGCCTTCCAGAAAGGGACAGTGCACCTTACTCCCTGCTCCAAGGCAGAGAGAGAAGGATTCAGTCCAGCATCAGCCTATCACCTTAGGTCTGTTCCTGGCTTCTGAGGAAATTCATTTCAAATTTTTAAAGTCACTTAACATTTCCAAGCTTTAGATAGGTAGTCTTTATTCTGATCAATTCTGGGGCATCTTTCAGGGACATGTGACCTGGTATCTACCCAGGACAAATGTGCCTGAGACAGAAATAATCAGAGCATCATCCTTTTCCCCAAATATCTTAAGCATTTTTCAGGATTTTTTTTTTTTATGATGTCAACTTGACTCTCCCTTTTGAATCCTTGTGGGTCTGAGTATTCGGCCCTCCCAGCCTCAGAGGGAAGAGAACCCTTTCTCAGGTTTTCTGTTGCATCTGGCTCCATGCCTAGCTTCATCCCGAAGCAGCACTCTGGGTGTGTGGGGCCACCAGCCAAACAAGCCCCTATGGATACAAAAAGGGTGTCAGTGTAGACAGGAATGAGCCTCCAGAGGGCTGTGGGGGAGGCAGGCAGCGAGCCCCAAATGTGACACTGGTGGCTCTTCTGGCACTAGTCCATTTCGGACCTCTGAGGTCAGGCTGTGGCATGGTTCTGGTACCCAGGTTGAACCACTTCTTTAAGTCACAGGGCTTGCTGCCAGCCTGACCTCCCAACACATGGGAGGAGAATGAGCTAAATGTCTCTTTCCAGTTCCTCCCTGTATCAGTCCACATGCCTGACTTCAGAGTGCAAGTTCCTACACAACAGCTGGGACTATGACATTCACAATTCCTATACAAGTGTCTCACACAGCACATGCACGTAAGAAAGAATGCTTAACTCTGGAGAAGGATGGTGCGTTCTCATCTGAGTTAAGAGCCGCTGAACTTTCTGTGTTGCTCTGGGACCTCCTTGCCCTTCCTCTCTATCTTAGCATAATGGAACAAATTTCCCATGGTTCTTACACAAGAACACTCAGGAGAAACTCCTCAAGCTGCTTCTTTATCCTGTGCAGAGTCCCAAAGCGCCCCTCGCAGCTTCCTGACCCAAGGGGATGAGCAAGTACCAGCTGGGGGTTCTCAGGACCCTACCCCAGATGTTCAAAGCCAGGAAAGCCTGCCAGAGGGAGCAGCCACCTGTGTGGTCCCCCCTCGACTTCCATTCATAGACCACTTCAGACTCTAAACACAAAGGCAGCAGCAGGATTGGTGGCAGCATTGTGACTGATGCAGGGAGACTGATCTCTGAGAAAGGATAAGAGGACTAAGGAGATCCACTGAACCCTCTAAGAAGGATCCCCAAAAGGTGCAAGAAGACTGAAAGCAATTAACCAACATGAATTTGGAGAGTCCACAGCTAGTCCTCAGCATTGTGCCGAGGCTGGGGGCCGGGGGGTGGTGGGAGGGCTACAGAAAGATAAAATCAGGTCTTCCACATGGTGAGTCTTTAAAATTATAGGTCCCAACGCCATATTAATTTCTTGTTCCAGGTGTTAAAAAGATGTGATTACTCAGATTGATCTAAAACAAAGCCAAAGTACAGATAAAGCAAATCTCAGCACTAGAAAGGACTCAGGTGTTCATCTTGGGCAATTTCCCACTCAGTGCAGGAATCCCTTCCATTAGCATCCTTGACCAGGGTCACCCAGCTTCTACTCAGGAGAACCCAGTCCCTCATGAGGCAGCCAGCTCCACTTCCAGTACCTGCATTTTTAGAAAGTTCACCCTCTTACCCACTGCTCCTACTTCTGCCCCCCAGATACAGAGAGGACAAGTCTACCTCCTCTGCCTCAAGTAACTGGCAGAGCGTTTTCTTATATCACTCTGAAAATTGGGAATTTGTAAAGGGACCAGTGGTGAATCCATGGCTCACTGTTTTACGACAGACAGACCCACTCACTATAAAGGACAGTAAGCAAAAAGTTGGCTACTTGTTTGGGAACACTGTGGTCTAAAAAAAGAGATAGGTTTAAGCAGCGCCTCTCTTAGGAGTCCTTAGAAGGATTCAGGAGCCTAAATCCTAAGGTTGGGCTGGAGGGTTGTCTGCTTCCAGGTCTCTCCACCCTGGCCAAACACGACAGAGGTAGGCCCTAGGCCAAGAAAAATCTAATCTATGAACGTAAAGAGAGGGATACAAGTCTTAACTCCTCACTCCCTACATAAAGGGGATCTAGCAATAATCATGTGGACCTTGGCAAAACCGAAAGGGGACTTTGTGGAGCAGTACCGTGTCTAACTGTGGTACTGTTGCTCTCTTCCTTGTCCTCATTCTTCCAGCAACAGCAGGCAGGGACCCACACCCAGAGATGCACTAATCTCGCTACCACCTTCCCCATGGGAGAAAAATTAGATATACCATCCAAAAAAAGTCCTCACTCCAGGCCTGCCCCCTTCCATCAAAACCATTATCTAAATCAGCCAGTAACTTCTACCCTCAAGGAGAAAGTGATGTTCCTCAACTTCCTCACTTACCAGCAACTCTCCAAAGGCAGCTATAGTGTCTTTAACTTTTCCATCCAATAACTGTTTAAAACTGACTGCAAGAACCTTCTCTCCCAAAAGAAACTAAGTAGCAGGGAAAATCTCTCCAAGGAAGGGGAAGGTGGCATGAGGACCAGTGGAGATAAGGGACAGTAAGTAGTCTCCCAGGCAGGGAATGCCTAGACTAGAGAATCCTTCTCAGGTCAAATGCTAAAGGCTCAAATCTCTCTTCTTTACATTTCATGCTGGGGTCTGGCCACCATCTCCCAGTCTATAAGACAGAGCTGGTAAGTGCTGGCCTAAATGCCTGGGGAGTGATTTCCTACAGCAAAGACTCAGAGTTTTAGAAGGACCACAGAAGGCAAATGTCTTGTTTTGGCCTCCTACGGAGTATGGAAACCCCACTGACATGATTTTCTTTATCTCGGGCCCAAGTCAAATCCATTCCATCATTTCTGCTAAGGAAAACACTAGCAAAAGTCCCAATAACCATGTACTAGCGTCCAGGATAACTATAGACTCCTACAGGCAGAAATGCTGAGACATCTTGGAAAACTTTCCACAGGTGGGTAGATTTGGAAGGAACACCCATTACACCCAACTCCCACAGTGGAACCCAGGCCTCCCCATCTAAATGGATTTGATTGTCACCAGCTCATTACCCTGGGGACCTCCTCTGCTTCATCCTGTCAGACACATGACTTTGGGAACAAGGAAGTGGAGCTAAAAGAGGCAGAGGACAGGGCTGAGTCTGCTTTTACTCTAGGAAAACACAATAAGAAACATCTTCACCTGACAGGAATTGTGGCTACTGGCTGCAGGCACTGGGCTTGAAGCTGTGTGTGAAACCAGGCTACTTAAAACTTATTACTGTTAAAACCTCCAGACTTAGCCCAAAGGGAAATGAGTTACAATGCTGTCTTGTCTAAGGGCTACTCACTTCTTTTTAAAGAGCTTGCGGAAGGAGCTGCGAAAGCCCCCTTTCTGGTCTTGCCTGGGGTTTTGATCGCTGAAAGATGTTTGTTCGCTTTCTCTTTCTTCCTTCGGACAGAATCTGGTGGTGTCTTCTAAATGCATCTCCTGAAAATACAAAAGAGGGGAGGTTATTTACTCTTTCCAAAGCTAACGTTATCCTGACTGGGACCATTTTTTTTAACTTTGTCACTTTCCCCTCTCACCCCAAAGAATAACGGGGAGCACCCTATTCCCACTAAAGCAAATCTAGGCTAATTAAGAAATCAGTGAAAAAAGGACAATCTGCTGAGTGCAGAAGTATTTTGTATGTATCAAGACAAACAGTCTTAGAGTAGGATTACGGTATAACAATAATTAAAGATCAGGACATAAGGGAAGTTAGTATCTAAAGGCTATGGAGAGTAACTTCTTATTCTGGCACCAATCCTGTCTTGCTGGGAAACGAGTAGCGGTCCCCTCACGTCTCTGGGAATGTTTCTCTTTCTACAAAATAAGGCAGTTCCTTCATTGCAATGCTAGTTCTAAACTCATGCTCCTAACTCTCCATTTTAGACATAAACGAGGGAAGGAGGTTTTGCAGGGTCAGATCTGTTTAGAAGTAGGTGTCAACTATGTCTATATAGGCACATACGTGCATGTGTGTATGTGTGCCTGCCGCACACTTTTAATCTGTAAATACACATTTAGTATAGTTTTTGGCATTCTTAATTCATGGTAGGTACAGTGTGAAGTAAAAATTAATAAAAAAAATAAGGCTCTATCTTCTGTGAACTTTCTAGTTTAAGTGTGAGATGTGCTAAATAAAACAGATATGCACTTATATTTCTGTTCCAGATGAATGATTTACTGTGGGGTGACTGAGACCTAAAAGCCACCTAATAAAGTTGCTGCATTTTGAACCTAAGAGAACCCAAGGAGTCACAGCAGAAACCACTATGAAACGAGCATGAGTTGGATAGGTGACTGCTTGCTGACCGTGAAGTGGGGCATGGGGATGATTTTTTTTTTTTTTTCAGGAAACATGGGTTTGACTCTGAGAACTTGCGGTTAGAGTAGCAGATCTAGAGGTTCCCTGAGACGCTACTAAGATTCATTACTACGCTGTGGAGAGCAACGTCTTGACGGCTTAGTGTGCTGTTTCTCAAACTGTGGTCCTGGAGCGACAGGATCAACCGGAGCTTTTATTTAAAATGTATATTGCCTGAGCCCCAACCTAGACTTGCAGAGTCAGAAACTCTGGAGTTAGGTCTAGGTAATCCTTATGCACACTGAGATTTTAAAAACCAGTGGTTTGGGGCGCCTGGCTGGCTCAGTGGGTTGGGCCGCTGCCTTCTGCTCGGGTCATGATCCCAGGTCCTGGGTTCAAGCCCCGCATCGGGCTTTCTGCTAAGCAGGGAGCCTGCTTCCTCCTCTCTCCCTGCCTGCCTCTCTGCCTGCTTGTGATTTCTCTCTGTCAAATAAATAAATAAAATCTTTAAAAAAAAAAAAAAAACCAGCGGTTTAAGGTATGCCCCTGCCCACCTGCTCTTAGCATTCATGAGTCACCCCAGACTCCTGCTAAGACGCAGACTCTGATTCAGTAGGTCTGGGATTGAGCCTACATTCTGCAACTACAATAAGCTCCCAGGTAATGGATGCATTTACTACCAGCCTAAGGACCACATTTTGACAACTGGGCTTTTAGGGACTGCTTAGGAACTAAATATATTAAGTTTAAGGAAAACCTCTCTGTGCAATCATGATCTTGATAATGTCTTGCATTTGTATAGCATTCCACACTTTACAAAGCCTATGCACATACTTTATCTTATTTGGCCTGATGCCCCACAACAACACTGTGAGTTAGGGAAGGTATGTATTGTCTTAATTCTACAGATGAGAAAACTGGAGGCACAGAGATGCCAAGCAAGTTACCCAAAAGCACACAGCTATTTGGCAGCAGAGCCAGGACAGGTGTCAGATCTCCTGACACCCAGGTAGGTGTTCCTTACATAAAGCATGCAGCCTTCTTTCCTGACTCTTAGAGACAGGGTTTGGCTGGCTCTTCAGGGCACGGGTGGAAGATACACAGAGTGTATTTAAGGAGATGGAATAGTAGGAGCTTTACACATCTCAACAGCAAAGAGCTGACACCTTTAAAGATAGGGCTTTTGAAGGGTTCATCTTCTGCGACGAAAACCCCATCTCACTTCCACCTCAACCACACATTCACATACAAACATGCACACATATACACATATATACATGTACAGAGGCCTGCCCACGTACACACACACATGTATGTGCACATACATACACACATGCTCACATATATCCACACACAGTCTCTGCCCACCTGGACTGTGCATTCTATCTCTCTCTAGGATACCTTCTGACTCTTTAGAAAGAAAAATTTTGTCCAAAAACAGAAGTAATAAGCAAGGTGACCTTTGTGTGAAAAATTCACATGCTTGAAAAATTTACTGATAACTGAAAGAGAAAAGGCCTCTTTTAGCTGACCTCTATTTGCCATCTCCTTATTGTCACTTTCTGAACCAACTTGACTCATGTATGACACTGTTAGGGGATGAAACTTGCTGTCCAGGATGTCTGATTAACAGTACCTAATATACTGTTTATTGTTATCTGGTATGTCTGATAAAGAGTCACAAATATTTGACTCATCGTTTGCTTCTCAGATATATTACTTGTTATTTCTGATTAATGTCTTTTTTTTCCTGTCAATTGTTGAACTCCCATTTTTTCATATATTCACTGAGGCGGAGAGACTTTCATGAACATGTGACATAAAAGCACTTTTGGCAGCTTAGACTACACTAGTTAGAAGGTTTTATATGTGAATCTCTGCCCATCTCAAGTTAGTTTGAATTGCCATTATTATTTCCTGCCCACCTCCCTTGTTAATGAACTTTTAAACTTTGACACACGCCTAAGATTGATTTGCCTAAGAAATTTTGCCTCATAGAATTCTGTAAAGTTCAGAGTTGAAAACCAAAGCCAGGAAAAAAAAAAAAAAATCTCAGAACTCTGGGGAATCTCAGCAACTTTAGCTGAGCATACGGAGGTCCCTCTGCAGGAACCAGTCAGACTTTGATTCTGGAGTCCAGATGGGCTACGAGCTCCAAGGCTCTTCATGACCCAGCCCCTTCTTTTTCCTCTGGCCTCTTGTCCACCAGTCCCACCTGGCACAGTATTCAAGAGGAAAAGCATCTCCCACTGTTTCTAAAAAAGACTCATGAGCCTTTTTCCTATTTCCCTACCTCACTCTTCATCTAGGCAGCTTTTAAAATTAAATTCAGACATCCAATTTATCCAGAAGGCCCTGTCTGTCCACCAGTGCCCCAGCAGGGTTTAAATGCACTTCCCACGTGTTCCCACCGTTTATTCTAATTCTGTGTGTCTGTGTTTCCTTTCTGAGATAAGCCAGTGGTCCTGGAGGGCAGAGACTCAGGTGCCATTCATTTCTGAACTCTCAGTCCTTAGCCCCGTGTCTGCTGAAAAACGACTGAATGAAAGGAGTCAGTGATCCTCAATCCATCCCCACTCACTTAGAAATGGGAATAGACGGATTATAGGGCTCTTATTCCTGGAAAAACCTCCTTTAGCCTAGGCAAAAGGTCTTCCAGCTTGATACAAGTTAGGCCTGGAGTATATAATTTTCAAGATGTACAAGTACAGAGCGGCCCTATAAACCCTAACAACTACTCTTAAACGGGTTAAACAGGAAGGGTGGTGGCAGAGGTCAAAGCTGTCCTGTCACTTTCTGCTTAATTAGAAATAGCGTTGTTCCAATCACACGCAGAGAAATTAAGTGTTTGCTCAGGAACTACTAGCCCTTTCGTGGATATGTACTTAACAACCCTTTAAACGTCCCAAGGCTTGCAGAGAGCAAGGCTTGACGTCAAAATACTAAACACTTATATGGACGCCTAAGAAGATATTTGCGAATCAGCACCTCCTCAACTCTATCGTGTTGTCGTTCCCCCCCCCCCCCCCCCCCCGTCCCAGTGGAATCTGCAAAGCAACGTGACACCCTTCTCCAGTCACACGTGCCGCAGACTTTGCAGGGAGTCCGCAGTGAGACGGGGCAACTTGCCTCCAGCCTAGCTACAGGCAAGGCTAGTGCGGGTCGGGGAGTGGTGCAGACCGGCATACCGGGTTCTGTGTTTTGAACACCTCCACGAGAAGGTGCGCCTCGCAGGCAGAGGAAACAAGGCTGGGACTAGTGTGCGGGACTTGGAATGCGAAGTGCAACTGTGAGGGGCCGCACTGCTTAAGCGGCAAAGCAGAGAACACCCCTAACTGTACGGAGGAGGTGTGGGGCAGGGTGGCTGACGGTGTCGACAGGTCTAAGAGTCCGTCTTCTCTGCGGCCTCTTTGCCTTCCTACATACACAGGACACAGAGAAATTAAGTGTTTGCTCAGGAACTACTAGCCCTTTCATGGAGGACACGCCCTCGTGCCCTGGCCCTGCAGGACGGAAGCTACCGCTCGCCACCGAGGGCACCTGACCGACAAGCCTCAGACCCGGGCTCTTCCCCGGCGGCCTCCTCTCCCACTCTGGCCAGCCCGCTTCCCCTCCACGCTAGGGGAGCCCAGGTTGCTCCCTGGAGATCTAGGCCCGGGGCTGCCGGCGCTGTGGGTTTGGGTTCGGTTTTACTTTACCCTCCTTACTTCCAAATAGGTCTGCTTTTCGCTTTGGGACCTCTGTTGGGGGAAGAAGGTCCTGGGCGCGCCGCGGGCGGCGGCGACGGCTGCGGCAGCGGCCTGGCCGTGCGGCTGCGCGGCGCGCTCGGCCTTGAGCGGCGCGCGGCCGCCGCTGCTGCTGCGCGTGCTGTAGAGGCGCGGGGCCACGCCCTCGGGGGGCGGCGCGCGCGGGAACTCCTTCAGCGAGCGGCTCAGCGGCTTGGTCTTGCCGTGCGCTTGCGCCGCCGCCTCCAGCTTGTAGGCGCCGCTGCTGCCCGCTGGAGATGTGGCGCTCTTGGGCAGCGGCTGCAGCGGGTGCTCGGGCCGCTCGGCCTCCATGGCGAAGCTGACGGGCCGCAGGAAGCAGATGTCCAGGCTGGACTCGGAAGAGGCGGGAGAGCAGTTCTCGAAGAGGGCCGGGGCCTGGAACGGCTCCTCGTCGTAGGGCGCGGGCAGCGCGAAGATCTCGCCGCCGTACTCGAACTCCTCATAGCCCGCCGGCACGAAGCCACGGGCGTCGGGCAGGAGCTCTGCCGGGGCGCGCAGGGAGCGCTCCACGTTGCCCAGCGGCTCGGCGGGCGAGGGCTCGAAGTCCATCTCGGGGATGGCCTGCAGGGGCCCGGCGAGCGCCTTAACGTCCTGCTCAGCTGCACAGAACTGCGCCGGCGCCAGGAGGCTCTCAGGCCTCTCGTGCTTTCTGCCCTCCATCTCCCACTCACTGGGCTTCCCAGGCTGCATGCTCTCCATCAGGCTTTGCTGTTGTTGGCTCTTCTTCACTGGGGGCATCAAATGTCTTTAAGGGGAAACAATACAAAAGAGGTTTGCTTACGGTGGGTTGGTGCAGGCCTCTCCCCGAAGCTCGAGGCCAGGAGCAACACGCATCTGCTAGCTACTGCTTAGGCACAAAACTGCCGGTTCCTCCCCTCTCTGCCCTCCCAGGCGCCTGCGTGCGTCACCTACCAAGCTCCATAGGCTTCTCCAGCTAAGGAGTCCCCCTGGCCCCCCACGTGGGAGAGTGAAAACGACATCTGTAAAGCAAATGACCGAAGTATCTGTCTGAGCAAGGAGGCTGTGCACCGAGATGGTGGGTCAACCAAGGATGGTCAACCCTCTCCACGTGGAAGCTCTGACCCGCCCACCACGGGGCCAGAATCGAAGGTACCTCCTTTTACTCTCCTCTCCTTTTTTTTTTCTCCTAGCAATAGGATGCAAAATAATGGAGGGAACTTTTGTTCGACTCATGGATCTTCACGCTTAAGAACAATTAAATTTCTAAATGAAACAAATGTGGTACGATCTGGAAAACTGTTGAATCTGGATGATGGTATATGGGGTTCACTGTACACTTTACTTTTGTATGCATTTGAAGTTTTCATAATAAAAACCTGAAAAATTTTGTGGCTATAGAGCATGCTGTATAAAGTCATCTCAAACTTTCACCCACAAAAGCAACCGCCCAAATGAAAAGGCTCTCGCTCTAAATATGCCCAATTTCATGTTTAATCATGAATAATGAATAGGATATGAGCGTAGCAAAAACATCAGATTGGATGGGATTTGCCAGTTCTGGTGGAAGGTAATTGCCAAGCAGATGTGAGTGCATGACTACCCACTGACCCAACCTTTTATTTATTTATAGTTTATTCATTCTACCACAAAAATGCAGATGTATTAAAAAGAAAGAAAACATGCAAATACTGAGTATCTTTTTGTGGTGATCTTAAGAAAATGAGATCTCACACTCAAAGGTAAAATGAAATAGTGGCCTGACTTGAATCGTCTTTTCACTTGGAAAATTGTTAAACTTTTACTGGCCATTTTCCAACAGAGTGCAATGGCAGCCATCCTTTTGGTCTGGGTATACTCTCTAGGGATTCTAGGGATTTCTTTTATCCTTTTTTGGTTTTTTTGGTTTTTTTTTTTTTTTTTTTTTTTTTTATTTTTTTTGGCTCTATTTGTTGCACTTCAAAGAAGATAGCTTTATTGTTGTGGTAAAAGCTGAAGTGACCCACAAAGTAAACCCCCCACTTCCTGCCTATCTGTCTCCCACTCTCCACTCAGGAAAAGTTTTGTTTTGGTTTGGTTTGTTTCCTGAATGGTGTTCTCCCTTATAGGATTTGTAGGGTTTTCTCTATATGAAGAAAATCTTCCTGGGCTCTATTTATAGAAAGTTTAATGTCTCATAGGTTTCAGAATAATTATAGAATATCTCTCTCTTTCCACATTTGTGCTTCTGCCTTTCCATGATACATGTTCTCAATTTTAAGAGATGAGGGCAGAAAAAGGAAGCAGTTTATTTTGCATTACTGATCATATATTCCTTCCAATGATTATAATTGGCATTTCAAAAGTCGTCGTGATTAAGAATTGAAATAATCTCAGTTGCCTACCTCTCACTTCATTGTAATTTTAGGAAAGAAAAGTAGCTAAAACTTCTAATTTTTCCTTATGATAATAAAACCCAAAGCAGAAATTATAGTCTAAGGAATTACTTTTATGAGAATTGTCTATTTGATGGAGTGCTGGATTTGGAATTTTGAGTTTTAGTTTCCATTATCTTTCCAGAAATCCTGGTTTCAAAAGTAGCTAATTTAACTTTACCCTTCAGAGGTAAGGAATTCCAAATATATATAAATGGCCTAGTTCTTAATGTAAACATCATCAAGAAGTTTGATGAATAAGAATCCAGTTAGTGTGCTAAAGGGTTGTGTGCAGAGACTTTAAAAAGCTATCAAATACATCCACAGCACAAAACAGCTTTAAGAGAAGCCGTCATAAGTGAAGAAAAGAACTTAGGAAATACCTTTCTGAGGAAGCTTCAGGGGGAATTAGGAAGGGCTAAATAGCATGCTTTCTTCATCACCTCAGGCCTATTTTTATTCTCAGTCTTAACTTCCACTCACCCCTGACTGAGATTCTCTTTCCCTCTACTACACCTTTTGGAGAACTTAAGTATATCTCCCCCGCCCCCACCGTGCCTTCCTGTCTTCTTCCACCCAGTCATTGTCTCAACCCAAAGACACTGTAGGTAGAGCATGGATATGTGTGATAAAATTGTTACTAGTAGCCTCAGCCTCCAGGCCTACCCCTTAACATTAGCCTTCCTCTGGGATCCAGTCATAGGGTCAGCAGCTTGCCTGCCATATATAGGCCTGATGAAGCAAGAGGGAGGGAAGAGTCCTGTAGGTCGTTCTCCTATTCCAGGCTCTCCTGCTACTGTATACAGATGACTTGGCACCCAAGGGCATTGCCATATAACCTTTTCATGCAACAAGTGCTTACGTGACAGTAGGGCCAGAACTGGGAGCAGAAGGGTAGGGTTGCAGTATCTCTTCTGAGTGGATCCCACTGTCACGGACAGCCTCGGGGCCAGCAGTAGGGGAAGCATCTTGTCCGGTATTTGCACACTGGGAAGCCAGCCCTTTGTACAGCTTTGCCATGGATGACCTATGAGAACGGAAGTAATGATTTTCGGAATGTATAGTGGGAAATTGGCTCTGAACACACAGATTATGCCGAGAGAGACAAGGAGACAATATTTCAGAAACGAAGCTAGACTGTGAAGTTCTCTCCCTCCTCTCTCTCTCCATGGCCCTCTACAAACCAGGTTATTTCCATAACAGTGCAAGCTAGATGTGGGCAAGAAGAGGGATGCTGATTAATAGCCTTGAGTTAAGTTTGAGGGAAAGGGGTGGTATAGGAAGATATCTGCCATTAGAGGAGCCCTAGCTTGGGAGATGGCATCTTTTTCTGGTCTCAAACATCCACAGAAATGATTGTTTTCCTCATTGGGTTGGGATGAGGTTGAAGGAACTTTTAGGTCATTAGGAAATTCTGCTGTGAATTGTTTCTGTTCCTTCTGAAGCCCAGATCTCTCTAGTCAGCTCTTTTTCTTTCTTTTTGGCGTGAAATTTGTTCAACCGCCTCCCTTATTTGTTTTGTTTTTTTTTCCATAGCACTTACACTGTCTATTTATTAACTGGCTGTCCAGCTCTAGAAAGTAAGCTCCATGTGGCAAAGATTTTTGTCTGTTTTGTTGGTTGTAATATACTCAGTAACAGAGCAGTGACCGATAGGCAGTAAGTGCTCAATAAATACTTGTTGAGTTCATGAAAGAAACCACATTCTGGCCTTTAAGCTACATTTTTTTAACCTGGCAAGCTTAGGGAAACAGTAACTATTTTCCAGATGGTTAATAACACAAGAGGGGGCCTGCATAGGGATTAGAGTAAAACTGTTTTTATTTTTCCAAAATAATTGTACCTATTACCTGATGGAAATTTTACCACCAGGTAATAGGTCCCTCCCGCCTGTAGCCAGCCTGACCACCTCATTTCCCTCCTCTTTTCTATTCTCTTCTACCCCGTCACTGCATTTCAGCCACCTAACATACACTGAGGTCACTTGTGACAGGTATCCACATTGTCTATATCCCTTTTCTCAGAAACCTTTGATCAACCCTCTAGATGGCAACATTAGAAGCTTACTTCTTGAGCTTTTTCCGTTTCTGAATAAGCAAATCCTCATTGCATTGAAACAGCAAGGTGTAATGCGAGATAAATACTCGGAGGCGCTGAACACACACCAGAAGTAGGTAATAGTCAGGGTGTTCCTGCTCTGTGAATTTCAGGACATTCTGGATGGAGATAAAAAGGAGGCAGCATTGCATAATTAGAACTAAACTTTAGTCTCTTGTGCACCTTGCCTACGTCTGTTGTGAGAGTTTGGTAGCCATTTAATCAGAACAACAGTACATGTGGCCAATCTAATTGTAAGCTGAATGGTTAAACCCGCTGTTTGTCCATCACACCAAGGGAGAATAACAGTCACCATTGCTCCTGTTTGAGTTGGATGTGAACGTTGGATAACTCCCTCTGAAAATTAGGAGGATCTACTCATTCGATCTCTGAGGTAATAGAATCATTCTAGCAATTACTATCTATAAGCAATGCCTTATGACCTAACCAAGTCAGACCAATGGTGAGAATGTCAAGCATCAAGGCAGGCTGGAAGGGGATAATGGTTATGATCAAGCCTGGCCTGGTGGTCCCTCCTATTACACTGCCTACTGTACGGTAGAGGAACATGCACGTTAGTTGGATCTGAGAAAGCAACATTTATTGAGTCTTCCTATTGCCAAGTACTAATGCCTTTACAGATTTGTTTTCTCATTTAGTGTTTACCACAGCTAGGTTAGGTAGGTGCAGTTATTACTTCCATTTAACAAATGAGGAAATCAAGGCACAGAGAAGTTAATGTCATCTTTGTTAGGTAACACATCTAATGAGTAGCAGAGTCAGAATTTGAACTCAAGTCGGACGGTAGGATAAGGGCTCTTACTTACCAGATTGCTTGCAAGACCTGGGTTTCAGTCCTAGGTTTTTTTCACCAATGAGGTGTGTTAACTTGGTCAAGTTACTTAATTTATTTGGCTCTCCACTTCCTTATCGAAGCAACCATAATGATACCTATTTTATGGGATTATTGAAAGCATTAAATAAGATAATTACTGGGGCCTCTGGGTGGCTCAGTCAGTTAAGCATCTGACTCTTGATTTTGGATCAGGTCATGATCTCAGGGTCATGGGATTGAGCCCCATGTTGGGTGCTGTGGGAAAAGTGGTATGCAGAAGTCAGCTCATCTTCTTCATGCTTTCTCTGGGACATACCACATAAGCAATATATGGTAGGCCCTTGGACTCAAGCCAAAAGAAAGTAGTCAAGATAGTAGTTAAGTGGACAGGTTACATAGAAACTTCTTAAATGCCTTCAGGTGGGGTAAGGGTTTGGGGGTACATTTAGATGGCTGTAGAACAAGGTGGAAGGGACTAAATAAGTACTCTGAATCCACCAGAAGCTGCTAGAGAAAGATCCTGGATCAGCAGAAGTGGTGATTGCTGGAAAATGAAGATAGAACTTCAAAGGCAGAAGTCATGAGCCAAAAATTTTAGAGATTGAGATTTCAGTTCATACCACAAAGTAGGAATGGGGTAATCAGCAATCTAAATCATTTCATTACTCCTTAGAAATACCACTGATTCTGTCTTGACCCTTTACCGTGTTTCTCAGTTGCAAGCCACGAATAGTAGTTTATCTTGAAAATCAGTTTGGTGGCTTCCCAGCCATGCCTACCTGCAGATGTATCAGATACTCAGGGATGCGCTGAACTATGTGAAAAAACAGTGTGTAGATGTCAGATTTAATCTCTTCGTCACCCTGAATGAAAGAAAGGCAGAGTCACTCTCCAGTGTCCCTCCAACTCTGGCTGCAGAACCCCAAAGTCAGTCCTACCAGAGTAGGGAGGGTTTTTTATTCCTAAGGCATTTTCTTTCTCTAAAGTGTCATGATCCTTCACTGGAGTGACATGCTCAAGGAGACACTTCTTCTGTAGCAGGAAGCATATCATATAATTCTTTTGAATCCACTCAACTTTCCCAAACAACCCCCCTTCCCCCCTCACTTTTTTTAGCACAGTGCTGGGCAGGAGTGGGCACTCAATAAATTATATTTGAGTTGAATGAATTCATTAAGATTCTCTTGGAATTACTCATTACAGTCGCTTCTTAGTAGGCACCAAGGGTGGACTGGAGACTCATGAGGGTAGAGAAAGAATATAACCAGTAACTGGTCAGCTGGGCTGGCAGAGGAAACCCATTGGATTTTCTCCATGTCCCTTTCTTTCCCTTCCTTTCTATTCCATCCCCTCCACTCCCACTCCTTTCTTCCCCTCCCCTATCCTTCTCTTCCCTTCCTTTCCCTTTCTCAAATATTTGCTGAGTGCTAATATATGGTAGGCATCATACTTAGAGGGTTGGGAGTAGTAGAGGGGCTGAAGTAAAACGTTAATAAGAAAGAGACCCTAAACTCTTGTGAAACTTGATTAACTCTTAACTTTAGGCTTCTGATAGAGTTTCTTCCTACTGGCCTAAAATAACTAGAATTGTTAGATATTTATCTGGGCTTATGGAGCACTTAGTAAAGCATTGCAGTAGCAATACTTAAAGCTACATGGTCAGAACCACTTTATGATCTTATAAACTGACAAACACAGGACGATTTGAGTTTAATATTCAGATTCCAGTTGTCTGATCCTGGGGCCAGGGGGAACCCCTCATTCAGCATACAAGCTGTAGCCTGAAGATCTCTGCTAAGAACTGCTGCTTACTTTATGCAGACTTCCAGTGAAATAGAAAAGAGAGTCAGTAAAGTAGGGCAAGGACTAAAGCACTGGCACTCTTCCTTGAGTGGGCTCCTTTAACCCCAGGTAGGAGTGTCCGTGGCTCTCTTCGAGCCATTCCCCAGCCTGGAAGACAAGCTGAGCACTTTGCATTCCCCAAGGTGGATGAGCAAATACCTATAGATACACAAGTAACTAAAGGGCAGTGCACACACAGAGTCACCATACCTCCTTCAGAACAACAACATGAACCAAAGAGATGCATTCAGGCAGGTCCCTTAGGTAGGCAACGTAATAATCCAAGAAATTGTTCTTGAAAACAAACACAAAAACGCATGGTAAGAACCTGGAAGTAGGAATAACAGCTAATATTTTTCCTAGAGTCATGTATATCAAAAAGGAGTACTTTGCAGAGAGTATCTTAATCATTTATTTAATGTGTTCATTAATATGGGTTTTTTTTGGTTGTTTTTTAATTCATTTCTTAAATCTTTTTGGTTTTAAGGTAAATATCACTATGGACTTGGGAACCAAAACTCAATATTCCTGTTTCAATGAGAGAAAGTGAAAATCCAACGCAACAGAGAGGGGCCACGTATGTTGAAAAAGTATTTTTAAAAATTGTTAAATGATAAAAATGCCTATTTTGTTTTTAAGTTACTTTTAATTTCAGTCATCTACATCCAATAAGGAACTTTGTCCAACCCACCTCTTGGTGTCTAGACCAGTGATCCTCAACTTTTTCTACTAATTGTGTATTTCTACCAATTGCTTATTGCTTGAAAATCAGTTTGGTGGCTTCCCACATGCTATATGCTTTCAGGAAAACAGTTCTCAGCTTCCAAAGTTATATTCCCACAGATAAAACAATTCTCAGCTCAAGAAAGCATACTGAATGCAAATAAGTAAAAGTGATATTAGAGAGATTGCATTATATCCATATAAGTAAATAATTTACAAACTTTGTATTTCACCTACATCGTTGATACACAGAGTTTGATTGCAGGCTAACTCTGGCTTGCAGACCAATTTTAATTAGCCTACACAATATTTTGAAAATAAGAAATGTTCACACAAAATTCGGGATTGCCAGTGTCTCTTAAAATATCAGAAGATCTGGCAACTCTAGTCCCTTCTTCCTGAATAATAATTGGATAATATTTCCTACAGAAAAGCATATGTTCTTAAGCTCACCTCCCAATGGTCCATATTGTACCACATTCTGCTTACTTACACTCATTTACATCACTGTCTGGCCCTGTAGGCATTTGAGTTCACATCCTCTGGCCTGGGTCAAATTTTCTTTGCAGAACATTATAGAGATTTTGAAACTTACCACCCTTTTCTCCAAGGAAGTGAAAATAAAAACAAAAAACAAAAAACATTCAAGACAGATAACTGCACATCACAGTTTTAAATCTAAGGAATGAAATTAGGTGTGAAATACACACACATAGACAAACCCTCCTATATTTATTTTGTACATGTGGATGGACATGTACGTGCTCGTGTATATATTTTTACACTAGTGCACATCACATTTATGTGCATCGTCAGTGGGGCAGTTGGGTATAGTACAGTGGGAAGCGATGGGCCGGAAGTTAGGAGGCTTGGGTCACAGATCCCCCAACTACCTAGCTAGCCGAGTGATTTCAATAAAGTCTTTTAATGTCTCTGAACTTTATTTCATTATCTGTAGAGTGAGGAGGTTAGACTAGATCTCGGCAGTTTTTCTAACTCTGAAAATCACTGATTTGAGGTCCTGCATTTAGAAGCAGACAAGGGAGACACAGATGCATGTAATTCAAGTTTACGAAGGATTTTTTAAAAACACTTACCTCATCATTTGTCAACTTAAGGAATAAATCTCCAAGAACTCCTTGGCGTGGCCACTTCAGGACCCTTTCCTGCAGAGCATGAAGCAAATCAAGGTGCTGCTGGACAAGGTACCGTAAAGAGCCAGGGAAGAGGCTTGAAACAGAATAGAGATAGGATCACACAAACCAGGTATACAGAAGAAAAGACCCTATAAGAACATATGCAGCAGGTTCCATTTTCCCATATTCTGAGTCACTGCTCTGCATTCAGGATTTTTTTTTAAGTTTGACATTATAGGCCTAATAGCAAATATCTATTTGCTATTGCTATTTGCTATTTGTGAAAAAAAAAAAAAAAAGACCCCTTTAGGGCTGCCTGGGTGGCTCAGTTGGTTAAATGTCTGACTCTTAATTTTGGCTCAGGTCATGATCTCAGGGTCCATATTGGGCTCCATGCTCAGCAGGGGAGCCTGCTTGAGGATTCTTTCCCTCTGCCCCTGCCCCAACTCGTGCACTCGCTCACTCTCTTTCTCTAAAATAAATAAATAAATCTGTTATTTTACTCTTTAAAATAATAAAATAAAAGACCCCTTTATCAATAGCTCCTACACAAATGTATATTGCACTAATAAAGAACACATCACTTAAATGGCTTTTTTAAAAAAGTTTATTTATTTTAGTAATCTAAAAATTCCAACTCACAAACCTGAGATCACACTCTTCCAGCTGAGCCAGCCAGGTGCCCCTTGAATGGCCTTTTGAAAGCCAGACTGTTACTGTTTCACTTATGAGACAGTAGAAATTCTAGGGGAACTCTTTTCCAAGATTTTAAAGTTATTCCCACTTGATGTGCAAATGAGTCTACTCTCATTAGTGTGGTAGAAGTCAGCACCTCGGTGGCATTTGATCATTCTTAGCTACTGGATAAGAGACTCCGATTTAGGTAAAAAGCAAAACTTGGTTAAAGCCAGCACCTAAATGCTCAGAGGATGGGCATGTGAAAGTGCTCCTTTCCCTTCCCTTCTGGGCAAGGACACAGTCTTTCCTGGGGAGGCCTGACCTGCTACTCCCTGGAGCTTCACAGAGCCCCATCCTCCTCTCACATCCCTCTCCCCCATCCCTAGCTGTGTTTTGTTTGTTTGTTTGTTTTTCCAGAGGAAATGAGGAGAGGAAGAGAGATGTCAGAGAAGGATGTGGTGGAGAGAGAGAGAGAGAGAATCACAGAGGAGGAAGGGGGTGCATGGAGAAGGGTGGGCGCAGTCAGGGGCCTGTAGGAATGAGGAGGGAAGCCACAAGGAAATGGAGTTCTGCTGGGCTACTGCAAGAATTCGAGCTCCAACTCGGTGACTTATGGGAACTGAAAGTAGGTTTCCTTGTGCTTGCAAGACCGAAACTTAAACGAAGATGAAAGTGAAGGTCTGCTTGTCACTGAGAGCTGAACATACTTGGATATTCCCCCAGGGTTCCACAAGAATAAGTGTCCAGTGGATAATTGGGGTGCTTTGCCAACCCTGAACAAGCAGACCTTTTTCGAGAACAGGAGAAAGAACATCAGTTTGATAAGAAGTTTTTTCATCCTCCCCTCCAAAAAAAGAAATAAAATAAAAATTAAAAAAATAATAAAAAGCTTTTTCAAACCATCTACAAGTCAAGCAAAAACTCCCCTGTGTCTATAGCTCAGAGAAGACACAGATAACAGAGAGGGTGTCCAGCCACCTGTGAAAAGATACAAGGATTCCTTCACTCCAGTCTTCCACCCCTCCCCGTCCCAAGCCACTAGTCTCCACCTAATTGAAGCCAGCTGGTCCATCAACACAAGTGGAGGGACTTCCCAATCTAAGCCCTTATGGCTGGTACAGTGGGCTCAGAAGATCTAAGTAATCCCTGTCAAGATCAGAGGGAATTTGGAGGGGCGGCTAGGAGATAGTCTGTCTGTGAAGGAGACCACAAGGTTGATGGAGGAAAGCACCACTGACTGGACTGAAAGAGTAAAATACTGTACCTACGAAAGTTCTCGATGTGATAGCTTTCTCCCCACCCAAGGTTACCATGACTTTCAGTGTGACACTGACAGACGTTAGGGTCTAATGCCATGGTGAGTCTGCCTGTGAGATCCGTTGTCCATATAGGTTATGTAATATCCCTTAGATGATCTCTTTTCTTTCTCTCTTTCTTTACTCCTCTCTTGGCCTTGCCTGGCCTCACCTGGCCTACACTTCTTTCTCTTTCTTTTGGGAAAGCTGCCTTCTGCTACACTGTGACTAGTGTCCTTGCAGAATTGGAGAGCTGGTAACTTGGCTGGGTGGGGTCCAGGTGCTTCCTGGACTGTCCAACTGGGGTAATAGTTTGAGATTTCAGGGTGAGGATCAGAAAAGGGTAATGTTCCCATCAAGTATCACAGAAACACAAAAGTTCTATGAAGAGCAATGGCCTACAGTGGGTTCTGTACCAATATTGAAAAAAAAATTATTTAACAAGGATACTATTGAAATCAGTAGAGGAGTGTGGAGGAGGTGAGCCAGGAGATGGAGAGCAGAAGGAGAAAGAAGCAAACAATGTAGACACACACGTAACCTGCTTCCTTGTTTGGCCTAGAGCCACACCTGGCTCCCAGAAGCAGCTTTTTCACAAAGATAAAAGTATTAAGCGCTCAACTTCTTATCTATTCCTTACTAGGGTTGAGATGATAGCAAGTAATTTGAGTAGTTTATTCTTTTTAAAACCTTCCAAGTTATTTCAACTCCCACATTACAGGACTTAAACAAGGGAAATCAATTAAAAGCCATCAAGGAAAACCCAGTTAGAGTTTCAAATCAATAGCTTTGCTCTTGCCCATCTAATTTTAGGCCAGAATAACTCCTGAGCTCCAGTCCCAGGACGCGACCAGATTTGAGGGGCGCTGATGACGAAGCGTGTGCCACCTGGTGGTGATCCGTGGCACACGGCCTCTTGGCGGAAGTTCAGCTCAGGAGGCTGACGGGCAACCCCGTCAGGCTGACCTTGCCGGCACCACCACCCCCCTCCCCGCCCCCGCCCCCGACCTCCTACCAAGGATTCTGACAGACAGGACTGTTTGATCATGAGCTTGTAACTCTATCTAGGCATATCAGACCAGGGAAAGCCAAGAGCTGCAACTTCTGTGATCCTCCAGCAAATGAACAACCTCCCACAAGTTCCACTCAGACCTCAGCTGGCAGCTGGGGCCCCGTGCAGCTTCCAGCCCTTTCATTCAGCCAGGGGTAGGCCTGGCTTGAAACATGCTGAGGAGGCTGTTGAGGGCTTTACTTTTCTCCAGGGAAAACCTAGAGTTTTATCATGTAGGTTTGAGAAGATGTGGCAACCTCAGTTTTGAGGGTCCAGTTGTAGTTACACTGGGTTTTATTCTCACCCCCGGGTTACTTTACAGCAGGGGTGGAAAGTGCTGGTGGCTTGCAATGTCTGATGGGAAAGGTGGGGCATGTTGCTAATTTATTTTCATCTTTGCATGGGGAAAATGCCAGTAGAAGAAAGGAATAATCTCGTTCTGTTGTGTATTTCCTTCAGCCGGCCTATTTAAAGTACCCAAGGAGGCTTCAGAAAAGCTTAGGAAAAAAGAAAAAATGTAGTGAGTGAAGGAGGATATTGGAAATCTAAGCCCAAGGTGGAAAAATGGCAACACTGCTAAGCTCAGAACTCAAGTCTTTATATTAGTCCTAAGAGTATTGACATATAGCTTCACTTGTCTTGGTTATGAAAAGAAAAAAGAAGGTTAGCTTAGTAAATAACTAACATCAACAGCATTATTGCGGTTGTGAGAAATAACTGCTTTTATATTATATGATATATGATTATATGGTAGTTTTAAACTTTTTTTAATCTCGGGCTTTGGGGAAGATGGGTCATGAGTCATGAAAGAACATCCTAGACAAGCAGGAAGTGATGGCAAGTAGGAGAGAGCTTCAGTGAGCCAAGGACATTTCTAGCATCCCTACCTGGCAAATCAGTTGAGATCTGAAGGGAAGTTTACACTGTGAAATAGGAAGAGTCATCTGGCTAAGAAACCCGACATGCTGTTAGTCAGGTGATGTCTTGGAAACGATAAGGTCCTCAGAGAAGTGGTGGGATGTGGAAAGGTCACAAGGACTGGGGGAGACAAGCCTGGGTTCGAATCCTCACACTAACTGACTATTTGGCTTTAAAGCCCTCTGGGCCTTAGCTTCTTCATCTACAAGGTAGTCTTCACAGAGTCCTTGTGAAGATCTCATGAAGTTATCAATGAAGCGCCTGATTACTGTGTTCCAGAGTAAACAATTCTCTCTCTCTCTCTCTCGTTGCCCCATCCCCAAATTTTCAGAGATGAGGAGGAAATGCTGCTGGCTTCGAATCTCGGATGTGGAAGCAAAACTACACCAAAAGGTAGACTTGCCTTTCGATTTGATTAATGTAAACGGAGCAGGTCTCTAGCAATAGCGAGATAGCTAGAGTCCAGACAGACATCTCAGAGGGCCGAAGGGGCAGTGTGGGAGTGGAGCATGAACACCGTTCCAGACGGGGAAGGAACAATCAGCGAGAATCCAGGGGGCCACTGAGAGAGGGTGATGCTCTGTCCAGGGCCTCCAGAGGTCAGAGCTTTAGCCCTGTCACATTACCCTTTCTGTTCCTTGTTTTCTACACTTTGCTTTGCAGTAAAATGATTCTTAAAAAGAGTCAAGCCACTTTCGAGTCTGTTGGGGAATATTCCCTCACCTCAGACATTTAGATGGGGGGAGCATCGTGTTCTGGTGACTACGTATATTGCTGGCAGCCGCAAAGCCAAGTAAAATTGGGGGATGGTAAAAAGTGAGAAAATACAATTACAGGCTTCCTGAGATAGATTCACGATTTATGAGCCACCAGTGTCTATTACCTGATTGACTATTTAGACTATTAATGCTACGTTTATCTGTAATAGTCCATAATCCAGACTTGCCATTCTTTTGGATTGGCCTTTTCCTCAATAATCTGGATTATCACATCTTCATGATGTTAGTCCTATCCCACCAAATCAGAGTTTCCTCCTTCCTGCTTTTCTTAATGGAGGAGAAGTAGAGAAGATATAAAGATGATGAACAGAAGGACCAAGGGATGTTGTAATCTTGGATGATTAATCTTGTAATCATGCCGTTTGAATAGACTGCAGACCCTGTGGAAGCATGCCCCACCACACACACACACACACACACACACACACACACACACCCACCACTTACGCACCGTCTAGTACTGTGGGATCACCAGGACATATAAGAAAGGTCCAAGTCCAGAGTTAATCAGCCCTGTGCCATTTATCTAATGGCTGCTTAATGTTTCAGACCTCCGCCACGTCCATTCCCGCCTACCTCCATGAGACCTGTGATCCCAGGAAGAGACGCAGATGGCAACAGAGAGCAATGTCTCCCTTACCCGTAGCATTTATTCCCCCTTTAGGTTCTTTACAGACACTCCAGGGACACTGAAGATCTCAGAGACTATATTCATTTTCTTATCTGCCCTAAGTCTAAATTTGAGACATGCCAGGTGTTACCTGCTGTCACTGCCTATACTCTTTTCAAAGACTATTTCTGGAACTCTTCACAGGTCCCAGAATTCCCCAAGTGGAAACAATAAACAACTTACCTTAAATTTTAATCAATCTGAAAAGCAAAGGCAATGAACACATGGATACCTTCTCTCTTTGGAATTCCTCTTTCCATCTGACCCTTGGAATGTTGCCTTGATCTTCAGGATCAGAGAGATGTTAATGACATATTTTCTCTCTGACTCAAGCAGTTCTAGAGCCACAGTCTGTCTTTTAGCTTTAAGAAACAAATCAAAGAGGGAATTGTCGTCAACCATTCCTTCCCAAAATCGATCAAATGATAGAAAGCAATAAAAAGACACTGAAAGCAATAAAAAAAGACATCAGCAAGTTTTCAGAGGATGGAAAACAGAATGGAAGTGTGGTAATTAATCCAGTATTGTAAGGGCACAAAATCTTGGTGTTCTCATCTGCAGATGGAAAATCTGCTGAGAAGCAGAAAGGCTCAAGGAGTGAAGGCACTGGGTACCACAGAAAGTACAAATAAGAAGCAATGCCGAAAACAGGAGACTTAGTCTACATATAGGGCAATTGAACTTCCAGGATCTTCTCCCCATGCCAGATGGCTTCCTCATTCACCACTGCCAACACCCCCACCCCCAACACCCCATCCCCGCCACTACCCCCTGCCATGGGAAAATGGGAAAAATTAAACTAGAGGGGCCCTTATCTCTGGGGTCTGGACTCAAGACTGTAGAGGGAAGGGTTGAGATGCCAACAGGAAAACAAGGGGACTCAGAAAAGGCTTTTGCATACTGAATGGGGAGACTCCACTCAGCTCCTCCCACTGCAGGTCTTCCTGCAATGCCAGCGGCCTGGAGAGTTATACTCTCCAGGCAGGAGACTGGAGGATCTTTCACTGAAGAAAATGAACAACCCAAGGGAAAAGGACCTACAGACACTGACATAAAGAGGTCAGCCACCAAAAGTTAATTTGCCACCGGATTAGCCTATAGTGAAGTCCATTTACTGATAAGCTTGTCCAACATAGAATTGTCATTTCTTTTTATTTAGGGCCTCTCTCTTAGATATATATATATTTTTTTAAAAATCAGCTAAGTATCCTCAGACATTTGAATTAAACTTACACCATAAATGAAAGAGAAGAAAAAGGTATATATACATTTTGAATAAGTATAGACAATGCAGGGGATGTATTGTATGGCATGGTTAATAGTGTTGTTTTGCATAATTGAAAGTTGCTTAAAGAGTAGATGTAAAAGTTCTCCTCAAAGAAAAAAATTTGTAGCTATGTATGGTGATGATGTTAACTAGACTTATTGTGGTGATCATTTGACTATATATACAAATATCAAATCATTATGTTGTACATCTGGAACTAATATAATGTTGTATGTCAATTATACATTAATTTAAAAAAAGAGACAACACAGAAACAAAACTTTTTAAAAATCCTATAATTAAGGGGTGCCTGGATGGCTCAGTTGGTGAAGCACTGACTTTTTTTTTTTTAATTTAAGATTTTATGTATTTATTTGACACAGAGAGAGAGAGCACAAACAGGGAGAGTGCCAGGCAAAAGGAGAGGGAGAAACAGGCTCCCCACTCAGCAGGGATCCCAATGTGGGGCTCCATCCTAGGGGTCATGACCTGAGCTGAAAGCAGATGGTTAATGGACTGAGCCACCCAGGCGCCCCAGTGGAGCACAGATTCTGGATTTCAGGTTGGGTCCTGGTCTGGGGTCTTAGGATCCAGCCCTGCATTGGGGGGGGGGACCCTGCTCAGCAGGGAGTCTGCTCAAGGATTCTTTCTTTCTCCCTCTGCCCCTCCCACCACTCACACATTCTCTCTCTGTAATAAATAAATAAATCTTTTTTAAAAATCCTGTGGTTAATATCCTCAAAGAGATGCGAGAAAAACATTCTGCCCATTTAATAGTTACAGGATGCTATTTTTTTTTGTTAAGAGAAGAGAACATTCCCAAAAGAAAAAAGGAGGAGGAGGAGAAAATTTTGGCATTTTTTCAAAGATAAAAGAGTGGCAGATAAAATCAAGATTCTCCTGCCTTCTTCCCCACTCCCCCAAAAAACAAGAAGGAGACATGATGAAGAAAAAGAGACTAGAAAAAGATGGTAGTGGAGAACATCAATCCAGGAAACCCAACGTCAGATTAGTAGAAATTTCAGAGAAAAGAAAGAAAATGGATGAGAGGATATTATCAAATTAATAATAGAAAAAAAAATTACCAGGAGACATCTTTCTGGAGGAAAGGGCCCACTGTGCACAGCATAATTAATGAAGAAGATTCTCAGACCACTGTGACACATTAGCATACCAAAGGTAAAGATCCTAAAAGTTACCAGAGAGAATAATCAGGTACAATACAAAGGACTGGGGATCAGAATGGTATTGCACATTCCAACAGTAACATTGGAAACTAGAGGACAGTGGAACAATTGGTTCAAAATGATGAGGGAAAATGATTTTATATTCACCTAAATTATCAACAAAGCATGTGGAAGCTACTGGATGATGGGTTCTATGAAACAAGAAGTAAACCAAGAAACCAACAAGGACACACAAGACAAAAACAAACAAAAGGGAATCTAACATAAGAGAACTATGAAAGGAATTCCTCGGAAGAGTGGAAAGTCCCAGGATGGCAACAGTGCAACAGGCCTGAATGGGGGTAGGAAGACAGAGGACTCTAGGGCAAAGGCTTTGGTGGGGAAGGAAAGAAGAAGAATGTAAATGATAGATTTTCCATTACACTGCTAAAAAAAATTAAAGAAGACCTATATAAAGGGAGACAAATACCATGTTCTTTGATTGGAACACTCAATACTGTCAAGTTGTAAATTCTCTACTAATTGGAATAAAAAGAATATAGAGTCTAGAATTAGACCCACCCATATGTGAATCACTTGATGTTCTTTACACAATTCAATATGGAAAGAAACAAAGATATTTTTGATAAAAGGTGCTGAAGCAGTTGGACAGCCATATGGGAAAAAAATGAACCTGGACTCCTTCCTCACACCATAATTGGAGCTCCTGGCAGACTCAGTCTGGAGAGCATGCAACTCTAGATCTTGGGGTCATGAGTCTGAACCCCACATTGGGCATAGAGTTTACCTAAAAAAATCTAAAAAAAAAGATAAGTAATAGATCTATATGTGAAAATTAAAACTATAAAGATTTTAGAAGAAAACATATTAGAATATCTCCACAACTTTGGGATAGGCAAAAATCTCTTGGAAGGACACATAAGTCACAATCTATATAAAACAGTTAAAATTGACTAACTTCACCAAAATTAAGAACATCTATTCATCAAAAGACTATTAAGAATATGACAAGGCAAGCCACATACTAGAATAAAATATTCTCCACACATACATCTAATAAAGAAATCATACCCAAAATAGATTAAGAAATTCTACTAATTGATAATAAGAAGATAATGCACTTTAAAAGTTGGACAAAGGACTTAAACAGGCGCTTCATAAAAAAAGATGTACAAATAACTAAAGAGCACATGAACAGATGCTCAACATCATTAGTCATCAGAGAAGGGCAAATTAAAACTACAATACCAGTATACCCCACTGAGAATGGCTAAAATTAAAATATTGGGAAGGGTGTGAAGCAACCAGAACTCGTGGATATTATTGGATGGAGTATAAAATGTGCCAACCACTTTGGAAAACTGTTTGATGTTTTCTTTCAAAGTTTAGCATAATCCTGTCTCCTAATCCAGAGATTCCACTCCTACGTATGCATCCAAGAGAAATGAGGGCTGACCTCCAAAAAAAACTTGTACAAGAATAGTTATATCCATTTTGCTCATAATAGTCCTGAACTGGTAACAATCCAAACATCCATCAACAGGAGAACAGATAAGCAAATTGTGGTAAATTTATTTAATGATTGAAAAAAGAAATGAACTACACATTATACTGAGAGAAAGAAGCCTGACTCAAAAGAGTACACATTGTATTATTCCCTCTGTATGAGGTCCAGGAACGGACGAAACTAATCTACAGTGACAGAAGTTCGAATAGTGGTTCTTAGGGTGGTAAGATGCATGAGAGAACTCTCTGGGGGTAACAGAACTATTGTAATCTTGATCCAAGTAGTGATCACAAGAGGCTATACATACATATATAAAAAGTCAATGAGCTTAAACTTAACCTTTATGAACTTTGCTGTATGTAAATTATCCCCCAGTAAAATACTGATAAAAAAGGGCAACATAAACCTGTTTTAAAACATGGAAGCGGGACGCCTGGGTGGCTCAGTTGGTTAAGCAGCTGCCTTCGGCTCAGGTCATGATCCCAGTGTCCTGGGATCGAGTCCCACATCGGGCTCCTTGCTCAGCAGGGAGCCTGCTTCTCCCTCTGCCTCTGCCTGCCATTCTGTCTGCCTGTGCTTGCTCTCTCTCCCTCTCTCTCTCTCTGACAAATAAATAAATTTAAAAAATCTAAAAAAATAAATAAATAAATAAAAAATAAAAAATAAAACATGGAAGCAAGTACCAGAAGAAACTGTGAAAACAATTTAAAGTGCTTGCTGCTTTCTTCCTAATAAATGTTTTAGTACTATTTAACCTTTCACATGTTCAGTAGTAAAAATTAATTTTTAAAAATTGCCTTCCACAAAATAGTTGGGGGGAAGAGCCATTATGTGACCTATAATAAGCGTTGAGTAGCAATCTGTGATACAAAGGAGAGGAAGGAAGGGAATAAGGAGAGAGGGAAGAAAGACCCTGTTGATATTTCAGTAGCAGAATACTGATCCAAAATGCACATACTGAAGATTTTGCGTCACTGACTACATAGTTCACAAAAGCTGCCCTCCTCACCACCAACTTTATGCCTTTTTGTCCCCCCAAAGCACTGTTACTAAAAGTCATGGATACCCAGATTCGAGGTGCTGGTCCCAAGCTGGCCATGTGACCTCAGGTGGGTCCCTCCACCTCCATAGTCTTTAGAATTCATCTGAAAAGGCAACTGGAGACTAAGTGGTCTCATATGTCCCCTGAACCTATACTGCAAGGATTCTAGCCTGTAGGTTTCCTGTTCTGCACAATTTCAGCCTGTATTTCCTCGCGGGACTTACCAGCTAAAGAGGTTTCACATAAAACATTTTCCAAGGAGCTGTGTCTGCCCTGGCCAGCATCCTTGAGTTTATCTGGGTGGTCTTTCGTGACATATTCCTCGCCCCATTCTTTACCATCCTTTGGCTGCCTCCACACACCAGATGAGAGATGGCTCTTGGGCTGGATATCAGCCGAGAGGCAAGACTTCAGGTTTTCTTCTGCTTCTGGAGTTGTTGGGTTCATCCCTGAAAAATAACACCTGCCATCCAGATCTGACTTTTTTAAAAACAATTGTATTTGTTATTAACTCTGAAATATTATGCCCCTGTTTGGGTACAAACTATCCCCCAAGGATTAAATACATCAACTAAGGTTTAAAAGTGTCCATGGTAGCAAAGGATCTGTTTCTGGCCTATGCATCCTCTACTCTTTTTATGCAGTCTCTACTAAATAAGGCATTTTTAAAAAGATAAATTTATAAAGTAATATAATTAATTTGTAGTAAGTATCCATTGACTCCCTGTATCTCCTTTCTTTTAGGCAAGCACACCAGGGAGAAAAATGCAGAGGAAGAAAGATGCCAAATACAATGTTTTCTTTTGGAATATGTCATCCTTGGCCCTGATAATGGTAAGTTGCAAAAAGGAAGGAGGAATGGAGGGAGGGAAGATGAAATAATTTATAAAATACTGGTGGATAACTTTTAAGTTAAGTAAACTATAAAATGTGTCCATAGACAATTTATTTTATGCTACATATACCTATGAGTTTCTTAGCAAATATTATCTCAGTGGTAATTGACGTGAGCCGGAAAGAACCAAGAATACTGGTTTTGTCTTGAACTTCTCCACCCCATCTCTCTCCTTGGTTTAACTGAATCACTGACTTACTCCACTAGACATCTTGGAGTCTTAGTAACCATAGTGCTTTATCTTGCCTGACTTCTTTCAAGCCTGGTTTGGGACTGAGGGACTAGAAGCAAGGAAGTTAAGTTGGAAGCTGGGAAAGGGTAGAGTTGCCAGAAAAGAACTAAACACAGAGCTACTTACCAGGACCCATCATCCCCTTCACATTACTGTCTGCGACATGCATGGATCTGGACTCTTGGGCTGCAGAGAAAGGAAAGTTTCCATCAGTATCCACTAACAAGGGCTGGCACCTTCTATGAGCCAGACACTTGGGACAGACTCAGAGTTGACAGCTTACTGAGGGAGACAGAAGAGCCAAAAATAAAATAAAATTTCAAGCGCTCAGTATTTTCACATTTGTAAGAAGATATAATAAGTGGCACTTACCTCCCAAACTACCACAAGAATTAAATGAGTTAATATGTGTAAACTGCACCAATTAAGAGCTAAATTCTTGTCTAACTATAATGGTGAGGATGAGGAGAGCCAGAACGATGCTGTCCAAACGTAAGTCAGACCCTGCCACTCCTCTGCTTAGCCCTCTAATGGCTTCCCCGGTCAGCGTAGAAGCCCAACGCTTTATAATGACCATAAAGCCCTAAAATATCTGCCCCCTCCCATGCCTGCTGTTTCCTTCTTTTCTTCAAAACTTCATCTTCTGTCGTCTCTTTTGTTCACTCTGCTTTACTGCCACTGTTCCTGCTCCAACTTGAACATCTCAACGATGTTCCCGCCAGGACCTTGGCATGGGCTGTTCCCTCTCTTCCCCCTCTGTATGCATCAGCTCACACCCTCACTTCCTTCCGGTCCTTACCTGGCACTGTCTCTAAAATTACAGCTGTTGCCCTATTTTTCTCCCTATCACTGACATGCGACACATTTTTTCTAGCTTGTTTGTTGTCGGCTTCCCCGAGGGCGGGGATGTTTATTGTTCCGTTCATTACTATCTCCCACCATCTACATCAGCGTCTGGGGTGATGGATGGGTAGAAGGAAAGACAAACAGGTGGGACAGTCAGCACCTTGACTGCAACCTCATGAAAGACCTTGAGCCAGAGGCACCCACAGATTCCTGACTCAGAGAAACTAGAACATGATGAATGTTTGCTATTTTAAGCTACTGAATTTTGGAGCAATAAGTAACAATTGTACCATTTTATAACAGTGGGTAAGTGGGTAAGCCAACCCTTTCTAAAGGTTAGCCCTTGGATCCTGATTTTTAGCATAACCTATCCTATCCAGAATGTCTTCTTATGGCACATTATTTGGGAAAAATTCTGCAGTAACTCAGTTGACTAAACTATGTTATATAAGCCACGTCTGTTATTACAGGGAAATAAGGAAGAGTTGCTACCACACAGCTCATTGAACTCCATCTGAGCACTTTGCAAATATAATTTTTAATCTTTTACCTTATGAACACGTTCAACTTCCCCAGCAGACCTGGCATTGATCTGACCTCTACTTTCTGAGGCAATCCTATATTCTTTCCTAATAAGACCATCTTTTTACGTCCTGCTCCTCATGACATGGAGCAGAGAAAATAGAACCACCTGTGATGAACCCGCTCGGTCCCCAGATGGATCAGTGAGTTTTCCCAAGCTGCACCTATCAGTCTCTAAAGTACCGACTCAAAGGGATAAAAAACTACAAAGAAAAAAGCAGATCCATACTTTGAAGTTATACAGATTAAAAGCCATCTGATTTAGATTTTTTAATTTAATGATTCAAAACACATTCATCATCTAGGAATACATTGTGCCTTAATGCATAAGGGTAGAAAGCCACCAGCCCTGCCCCAGAGGAGCTTACAATTGGTTGAGAAGGCCTTGAGCCTCTTTTGGAGAACTTCTTTTTGTTAGCCAAAAAAATCTTAAAAAAAAAAAAAAAAAAAAGGGCGCCTGGGTGGCTCAGTGGGTTAAGCCGCTGCCTTCGGCTCAGGTCATGATCTCAGGGTCCTGGGATCGAGTCCCGCATCGGGCTCTCTGCTCAGCAGGGAGCCTGCTTCCCTCTCTCTTTCTCTCTCTCTGCCTGCCTCTCTGTCTACTTGTGATCTCTCTCTGTCAAATAAATAAATAAATCTTTAAAAAAAAAAAAAAAAGGACAGTTCCTCTAAACAACATTAATGTCTACGTCACCCTGCAGCACATATAAGGTGCTTTATTAGACATTGCTGAGCATACAAAGATGTAGCAAATGTGTAACCAGACATGGTCATAGACAGAGGTGGCTGGATGGAAAGCCTGTTTCTTTAGCTCTGCCCAGGAGCAGTTTTCTGGCATCTGTTCTCTCATCCCTCAGATCAGGGGAGTTGCTAACGACTGTCAGTCCACAGACAGCACCAGCCCTGGTTATCCAGAGGAAGAGGCGTACAGAATTACACTGTCACTTGTGTCACTCCCTGCCACTTAAAGCAGATATGATTTTCTCCTCTATCAGTGAAACCTTGCTGAAAAAAGAGCTGAACACACAGTTTTATGCTAAGAATATGCCTATCTTTAAACTGTCTATGCAGAGAGACAAGAGTGGAAAGTAATGTGGAAAATAAAACAAGTTATTAGAGTGAATAATTTTTCTAACATTTTTCTCCTAGGGTTAGTGTTTGAAATTTAGAACCCAGATAAGTATTCCCCCCCCCCCAAAAAAAAAAGCTTTTAAAATTGGGCAGATTCCTCTGGTCTCTTAGACTCCTCTGGATTCTTTTTTTTTTTTTTTTAAGGTTTTATTTATTTATTTGACAGAGAGAGAGAGAGAAAGAGTACAAGCAGGGGGGAGCTGCAGGCAGAGGGAGAAGGAGAAGAAGGCTTCCTGCTCACTGGATTTGGGGTTCTATTTCAGGACCCTGAGATCATGATCTGAGCTGAAGGCAAATGCTTAACACACTGAGCCACCCAGGCATCCCAGGATCCTGTGGATTCCTATAAATTCCAGTTATAGGAGGAAAAATTCTGAGCTATACATCATTTTCCTATAAGGATACAAGACATAAACCCATTCTCACTATTACTCAAGCGCTAGGAATCAAGGGGAAAGGCTGGGCTCATTCAGTATGATTTGCAAACTGTACCTTTTTCATAGGCCTGAGAAGGCAAAAGATTTGTAAAGTCTTCACTTGGAAGAACAGGCTCAGGGATATTGATCGAACGGAAAGGACTTCCTTGTGCCTGAGCAGGCCCAGCCTGCGGGCCATGTTCTTCTTTCTGAGTTTTCCTGGGGAAGGAAAACAAAGGGTCTTAATGCCTGATGGGTTAAGAGGAGAATCAGTTCAGAATAACCCGAGAAAAATTCTGAATTATTAGGTTGAACCATGTAAAAGTGCTGTTTTTGTAAATTAAAAAGTTAGATACTAGCAGTTCTTAGGGTTCAACTTAATTCATTGCCAAAGCTGGAGAAAAAATTTCAAATACATACAAATCACATCCTAATTGTAATATCTATATTTTTGTTTTTCTGTTCTTGGCTTCTTTGTCATCAGGATCTGTACAGAGTTAGCAATGGTGACAATTTGCTTGGGATGATTTACATTCACTCAACAAAGCAACACAGAGGTACCAGGAAGTAGCAGGTCTTCAACCACAAACAACAAACCATTCTTCGGGGTCACACAAATATTATTACCATATTTCTATTTTAAATTTGATAATTTAAAAGTTCCAACTTGATATAACAATAATGATCATATACGTTTAATGATGAACCTTCATTGATTCAAGCTGGTTGAAATGTTAACATAAATGTATTTTGGATGGTAGACGTAAACTAGTAGTAGCATTAGAGAAATTTTAGAAAACTAATTAAAAAAGAAAATCATGAGTGACCCCACTATCTTAACATACAATTATCATCTTTAAATATATGTTTTTAGTTGTTATTTTACATGTTTTTTACAGTTGAAATAAAAGTCTACATGTCATTTTATATCCTTTTCATTTCACTTTCTATTATATTGAGTGCATTCTCCACGCAACAGTTACCAACCATTTTTAAACATAACTGATTTTTATGATTCTATAACCGCCATCACAAGCTGACCTGCAGATCCCAGCAGTATATAGCCACTTAGCTATCTGCTGATAGAGGGGTTGGAATTCTCAGTGTCACTGTGCAAGCCTCTGCTTATGGGTTTGCCATTGGGTGGTTTTGTGTAAGACACTCACTTGGCTTTAACTTTTCGAGATTCCCTTCTCTTTTCCTGCTGAAGTTGTTCAATTTTCTGTTGCATTTCTTCTTGCTTGGAAGTGATGGCTTGAATCATTGACATGGCATTGCTCAGCTCTTCCTGAAAAATAGGAATTGATACATCTTAAATTTGGCAAAAAGTAAAAGGGGTGAAAGGATATAACATGATATCTAGTATACAATAAGCTTTTAATACATATTTGCTCAATGAATGAGAGATGAACATCTTCTTTCTTTCTTTTTTTTTTAAGATTTTATTTATTTATTTGACAGACAGAGATCACAAGTAGGCAGAGATGCAGGCAGAGAGAGAGGAGGAAGCAGGCTCCCCACCGAGCAGAGAGCCCAATGCGGGGCTCGATCCCAGGACCCTGGGATCATGACCTGAGCCGAAGGCAGAGGCTTTAACCCACTGAGCCACCCAGGCGCCCCGAACATCTTATTTCTATTGTAGTCTATAATTTTAACACAGAGATCCAAGAAAGAAAAACATGAAACAGATTTTTTTTTTCCATGACAATTAGTGAATTTGGCTGCTACATGAAAGGTGTTTTTCTACATCTGTGACTAAGACCAAGAACCCTCTGTTTAGCTAGGGAATAGAAGAGGAACCTACCTTGAAATAGTTCAATGAATTCTTCATCTCAGTAACTTTTTCTTCCATGGAACATCGACAGCTCTTAACCTTCTCTTCCAAAGCATATTCTCCATGTTGAATTCTTGACAGTTCTTGCATTGCCTCCGTGAATCCAGTTTTGAGTTCAGAGGCCAAGGCCTGCAACTAAAGACAATCACCAAGAGTGAATTCAGTTTTCTGTAAACTGTTATGAATATTACCGCTGGCCCCTTGAGTTTTCATTTTGTTTGAGAAACCAGGCTCCTGAAAATCTACAGACCTCATTTCCTGGTAGACTAAAGTGTAGACAACATATGGCAAACTTGGTCCCATTCTTTTAGGGAAAGAGGGAATTTTTTATATAGCACATGCTGAAGCTTAATAGTGACAAGCAAGCAAACCATTAAGTTTACAAGTGCTCCTGTGAGCTACTGTTTATTCTAACACCTTTGATTAAAATGAGATTTACTTGAAAAGCAACATATGCATGTGAAATACAATCTGATCCAATAACTCTTTGAATCCCATGAAAGAAGGGGTGGGTCATATTATCCCTGGTGTTGTAGAAGATGAAGAAATTCAGTTATATTTCCCTTAAAAAATCAAATGATAAAAAGAGTAATAACTAGGCATATCTGAGAATTTCTTTGAAAGGGAAGAGGCCATATATATAAATATATATACATTATATATATATATATATATGATGATATCATAGAAAAGGAGTAAATGGCATTTGCATTTGAGTGGCAGGAAATAACTACAGTGTTAGGAGCTCAGCACACTGTTGTTGATAGTGATGTTGAATTATCTTCAGGAGTCAAGCCTGGTCCTGTAGGAGTACGCACATTGGACTTCTGTTGTCAACTTCCATACCATGAAAAATGTATCAATTCTGGAGTCAGATAGGGTACAAATTCTAGCTCTCCTATGAGAAGTAAGACCTGAGGCAAGTTGGTTAACCTCTTTGTAGCAGTCTCTTCCTGCATAAAATAACTACTGTGACACCTATTTCACAGGGCTGTCTGGACATTAAATGAATACATATAGGTAAGCTTCCTGCCACAGGGCATGCTTGGTACAAAGAAGGTGTTCGAGAAATTTAATTCTTCTCCCCCTTTCAGTGACACATCAAAAAGTTAAGCACAAACAGAAATGTGGAGAAAATGGAGCACTTCTAAAGTTCGGGTTGTTGGGTTTTTTTTATTGAACAAATGTAAAGAAGCATTTTCAACACACAGAAAGTTAAGATAATAATAACAATAAGATAATAACATTACTTTCTTGAAATTCATGATCTTACACTCTGCTAAGGAGAGGAACTCGTAGCTTCAGTTCTCTCTTTAAAACAGAACTTTTGACAACATTAACAAAATTCCTTCCAATGTGTACTTCTAAACATTTTCAGAATCTGGTCATCCAAAATGATTCCAGCTCACAACGACACCTCCCACTATAAAACGACTTGGTCTCCTACACCATATTTTTAAAATACAGGGTTTGGTTCACTGTGCCTCACAAAAGTTTCGTTCAAGGGGCGGGAATAGTGAGAAATAAGAGGAGTCAAAGAGATCATTCTGAGGACAAAAGCAGGACCTGCCAAGCATTCAGGGCTAGAAGCATGAGAAACAACACAAGCCATCTATATTTCGCCACAATCATTTTTAATTTTAATTAATCTTTGCGATGGATCTTTGTACATGTCCTAATCTAGTCATCATAATGGATTAAATCACCAAGTCCACTACCTTTGGTCTGATAGTTCTCATTATGTAAATTCATTTTTAGTGAACAAAATAAAATCAACGGCAATATAATATTAAAGCAAAATCTGTGCAAGTTTTAAAATTGAAGGAAAGAAACCTGACATTCATTCAGGTGCTCTGGTTTTCTGTTTGAAAAAAAAAAAGGGAACCACTATCCGACAGAAATAGGTTTCATTATCACTGCTCCCTTAGGTGGATGTATGGAATTTTCCCCAGGAACCAAAAGACAGCAGGAGGATCCTAGGGGAAAGGACTTTTCCTCACCTGTAGAACCCCAGCTCTCAAAAAAAAAAAAAAAAAAGTTGAGTTTCCCTAACAGCCAGGTTATATAGGGACTTTGGGGATTTTGAAACCATTTTAGGTTAGGAACCCATTTCCTTCCCATTTATTACTTTGAGCCCCTTGGGTACCTCCCACCAAAATAACACTATTGACTGATAAACAGCTTTCCATCCACTGATCAGCCAAGGAAGGGATGCCATATGTGAGCATAATCACACCGGAAACGTGTCGCCTTGAAGACGACATGGGGCTCAGCATCTTTAGCTGCTACAGACTAGTTTTCCAGTACCAACTGGCCGTTCCTTGTGAATAAAAAATACTCTGAGGACATGGACTTAACATCTTGTCTCTGCTCTCGCTCTTCAACTCTCTCATTTGACAGCCCACAGCCCACCCCAAGGATTAGAAACGGGTGTCTACCTTGTTCTCCAGCGAGTTGAACACGTTCCTCATCTCGTTGATTTTTTCATGAAGCTGCTCTAGAGAGGTTATGATCCCTCCATCCTGCCGCTGGAGGCGGGCTCCCACCGGAGGCAGGTTCAGGGAAGACTTGTACTTCGAAGCCTAGGGTACCACAGAGGGCATCTTAGGCTCAAAGAAATAGGGGAGAGGAGTCCGAATTCTTCCTATTTCCTGTTCTTAATTTCTGTTTCTCAATTTTCTTTACTTTCTTGGTGAATTTTAATTAATGTCTTCCCATCACTTTTCACCAAAGTTCCCTCAAACTAATTTTCATAAATTATGCAAGTTGTTCCAACTTGTTTTTCACACAGACTTGCCCTTCATTCTGTTCCATTATCAAGGTCAAAGTCTAGTCTGAGTCCAACTCAGGGGACTGGGCCTGGGCCTTGAGATCCCTGTTAAGTCATAAACGTCAAGATTTGAGGAAGCTCCACAAGGCAGGCCAAATTCCTACAACACCTGACGACAGGCTTTAAGGAGCAGCACACGATGGCAAGGACGCCAACGTAATTGCTTTGGTTTTCCCCAAACCAGGGTTTGTACAGAGGAAATATGGTCTTTCTGCCAGTTTTCATCTTCTTCATTTTAGGCCTCTTTATTAATCCCCAGAAATATGATAATTTAAAACAAAAAGTGGGCAGCAAGTCGTTTGAGTGGTTGAGTAAATTTCCCAAATCTACTCTTCTACACTCCCTGCAGAAGTTGACCCTTAACGTCATTCTTACAGTGCACGACTGAAGAAGATGTGAAGCAGGACATGCTGGAAATTTATCTTATCAATCTGGGAATCACCACAGGCCTAGTAGAATTAATTTCTCTGGTGTTGGGAGATATTCCTTAATGGCAAAAAGAGACTGAGGCTCAAAACGGACTAAACAAATCCTAGAAAACTTTCAAAGGCAATTTTAATGATGAAACCTATTACTGTAGGACTGGTTCCCATAGTTTTTCAGTTAGGGGTCCTTTTGGCACATAACTCATTTTCTTAAATTATTTTCGTTGCAGAGAAAAAGAAAAAAGAAAAAAAAATCACTTCAAATCTCCCTACTTTTATACAACCGCGAATGTTTGGGCACATTTTCTTCTGTTTTGTTCTGTGAATATAAGTGCATACATTTATATGGTTGAACTCATACTACAGATATATTTGCCAAACACTGTTATAAACCCTTTCCTGTAGCCTTCGAATTTTTTTCTATGTGTCTATTTTTAATGGTTACTCGATATTCCATCCTATGGATGTGCCAGAGTTTATCCACCCATTCAGTTTTCTTGGAAATTTATGTTGTTTGTAATTTTTCAACATTATAAATAATGCTGACCTATAATGCTGTTTATTTAAAGCTTGGTATGCATTTCAGATTATTTCCTTAAGATAAATTCCTAAATATTCCTTAAGACGTTGGGTAGTATTTGACTCAAAGGACTAAATTAGTGTATTTAGAAAAACATGTCTTGGACAAAATATACAAAACATAAGTAACGTAAATGGGAGGAAGCTGCAATGTTTACATTCCTGCAGGTGAGCCAGAAACATATTGGAATTCACATCATTAGGCGGGAGTTGGGCTAGGACCAAATGGTGCAGTTACCACATCTGTGGGCCTTGATTGTGGGACCCCACCCCCACTTCACAAGTTAATGGAATGGTATTTTAAAAATCCGTGTGCAAAAGGAAATAATCAGTCTGCAGCAACACAATCTGACTCTGGAGAAGAGAGTGGGTGAAATCTGAGAGGCCTATGTACAGTGAACGAAGGATGAGAGAAAAGCAGAATAGACTTGGAGTCAAATAAAAGGGAATATGAGCTAAAGAACAATCAGTGTATCCACACAGATTCACCGGTTCTGGTAATAATTCTGGAATGAACTGGGAGCTGGTAGTGCTTGTTCTCCTGTTGGCTCCCGTGATCTGATTTGGGTCAAGGTACCTTATTTACCAAGGAGGTCAAATCCATCTAAAAGCAGGGAGCTAATTAGGGTTACGAACATTTTAACACTTTTACTATATTTTAACTAAAAAGTTCTATTGAAGTTTCCACCAATTCACACACACTCGTCAGAACTAAATATTATTAATTATTTTATTATTCACTAATCAGATTGTCATAAGCTTCAAAAGTCTCCATCTTCTCTCCTACTTATTAGCTATCTATAATTCTACTTTGGTAAGTTGTCTGTGTCCTTTGCCCATACTCTATTGAGGTCTCAGAAGTTTCTTTTTTTACTGACTTGTATTGACTACTTATATACCATTAAACCCTTGTGGTATTTTTCTGTAAAAGAATTTTCCTGTTTTGTTATTTGCCTTTGAATTGGTTGAAAATACATTTATGTTGGGAAATTTTTTAATTGTGATGTGGGGGGAAATCGCTAGCCCTCTCCTTTGTGATTTCTTCCAGTGCTTTTTTCACATCCAGAGACAAGATAAATATTCACTCATTCTAAACTTCTATAATTTGATTATTTTAAATTTCTAGGCTTTTAATCCATTTTTGAGTTTATTTTGATTAGGGTAGGAAGTAAGGATCTCTTCTTTTTTGTCCCAAAGAAGAACCAGACAATTTTCCAAACATGATTTGACATCAGACTAAATGAGTGCATCAGACCTCTTGGCTCAAAGCAATATACACATCTTGTAGATATTCATTCATTCATTCATTCAACTAATATTTATTGAATATGTGTTATAATCCAGGTACTATACTTTATGCTGAGGATACAACAGACAGCAAAATGGACTAAGTCCCTGCCCTTGGAGCTTACATTCTAGAGAAGGAAACAGACACTTAAAAAATAAATAAATAAACAAGATACTATTTACTATAATTTCAGGTAGGGATGGGGGGGTCTATCAGGAAAATAAAATAGAAAATGGCTAAAATGTCATATTTTCCTTCAAATTTCATAGTTTGCTCTCCCTTCTTGGTATAGATTGTATTCTATTATAGTTAACCTCTCCCTGCTTCCCTCCTTCCTCTTCCTCTTCTTCTTTCTTTACTTCTCCTTCATCTTCTTTTGGTTAAATGTTGCTTGGAGTAACCAGTCTGGGTTTTAGGAAGCATTCTTTTAAAAACAAGGATGGGGTTATGATCACAGCACCACAGAGGTCATATAGACCAGCTTCGCTTCCACTGCTTCATTTGTTCCACTGCGAACAGATGTACTTGGGTTTGTGATACAATGAGAGAATGAGGCCACCCCCCACTGCCGCTATATTTAGCCAACATTCAGGGAGTGACCTACATAAAATCTATAATAGACTTTAAATCATACCTAAGTTTAAAGACATACTCACAGTCACTCCGATGCCATACACAGGTCAGATGTGATGTGAGCAGAGGAGAGGTGGGCAGGGAAGACAGTTGGAAGTCGTGGACAAGTGAGGCATCAAATCAGCACTGAGTGAAGACTCACTCCTGCTTCCAGGCCTTTGTTCAAGCTGGTCCCTCTGCTTGAAACACCTTTTCCCATATACACTTACCAAACGACCAATCTGTCCTTAAATGCCTTCAGCCAATATTCATTCATCTCTCCACCACATCAATAACTCTGTTGTAATCCTTCCATCAGCCTACCTGTTTGAGCCATTTATTGTATCTGTTTTCCAGAAGGTGGACACTTAAAAATCGATTGCAAATGTCTGTTTTATTTCTCACTAGACCAAGCAGTTGATTTTACACATAGTAACTGCTCAATAAATATGTAATAAATTGAAATGAGGCTGTTTCCTCTACTCCTTCCTACTGCTGGTCTTGGTCTAGGAGCAGCATGATTACAAAAATGTTTTCATAATCCTGTGTTGGCTCGCCCTGATTGGCTCACAGCAGTGACCTCTTGCATGAGATTTCTGGGAACTAGTCATTATTTTCATTTTACTATCACTTAAACTCAACAAATCTAAATAACATTTCCCTTAAAACTCTCCACTCTTCTGGATTCCTATTGTTTTTTCCAGAAGACCACTCCCCAACCAAACCTTAAAACTTTACAGCCAACTTTGAAATCATCCTTTCTCCGAGCCCCCACCAAGCTCTACTAGTTCTTTCTTCCGTCTCCTGCATTCCAGATAACAGTGCCTTAACTTGAGAGGGGAGCATGGATTTTCCTAGCCCAAAGCTTCTTTTACATTACAGATTATATCAGAATAAACATCCATGATTTTTAAGGACAGAATTTTACTTTAAATTTACATTTAGAAGATAGATACCAAATAAATACTCTGTAGAAAGTCAAAGCAGCCCCAAGTGACTGTTGTTGCAAACACACTATAAAATGTTTTGCAGAATTTTTAACTTCCTTAGAAATAAAATTATTCCCATTGTTCAGAGGGAGCTTAACATTTTTTTGATCACCCTGTGTGAACATCTGCAGTGTTAACCCCCTTTCAATTTTCAGTTTTCCCTGCTAAGATAGGAAACAAAGAAAAGCAGAGCTTGCTCTCTCCTCCTCTCTCATGGAGTTGGCATCGCACAGTGTCATGGCCAGAGTGATGGTGGCAACGGGCAAGGAAACCGGAATAGACATGGGAGTGGCCATGCCATAATTTAGAACCTAGATAAGCTGTCCTTCACTCAACAGTTTTCTCAAAGGTGCAATGTGAGCTTAACTCTCTGCCCTGCCTACTTCATGGTCCTGGTAAGCGAACAAACGCAATGACGGAGGTGCAAGCACTTGCGAGTGCTAGAAAACTCTGGACGTAAGCGACAGTCATCACTATCACACACAGGAGTGTTCAAAACAATCTAATTGTTTTTACCTGGTAAATCTGTGTGGAAGGGTTATTCATCGGCATATGTTCATTCTCTCCTGTAGGAAGAAAGAGCTTTGTTCAATGAACATGACTCATTCTGTCCCTATCCTCCTCACACACGTGCAGGGAATAAGGCGACTCATAGAATCTTAAATCTGTGGCTGCATGACAAGAAACCAGTGATATAAGAACAAACGTAAGACGGTGTAGGTGGTTTCTATATTCACATCCTAATGACCTAACCATATCTACCTGATAAAACTCTTGTGGTAACAAAACAAAAGATGTTCTACCACAGTGGGGAAGTTTCTCATCCAAAGTAAATGATTAGTGATCATTAACCAACCAGAAGGGAATGCCCTTGAAGGGTTTCCCTCATGTTCTTGAGGCTAATAGTTTACTTGAGGAGGTAGTTCTGTACTCAGGAAGGCTACACCAGACACCTGTCTAGTTATCACTCTGTTGTTCTCAGGACACCTACATAAAATGTCCTTGCCAAACTTTTAAGGTTTCCCCTCCTGTCACTGCCCAGATCTGCTAAGGTAATCTTACTGTCTTCCTGCACAAGAGGGTTGGTAAAGGGAATTGTCAATGGAAAGATTCTGGGAAGGATGCAGGCAGAAATGAAAGAATATTGGCAACACTAGAGACTGAAACACAGGGCAAATACAAAGGAGGTTATAAAAACCACTTATAAACTAGGGAGAAAAAGGGTTGGCTTATACAAAGGAGGTTATAAAAACCACTTATAAACTAGGGAGAGAAAGGGTTGGCTTAAACTCTCAGAACCACATTGGCTGGCCACGAAGACAAGACAGTCATGTAAATCACGCAGCTCATTCCTCATCCACTTAGTTATATTTCCATTGTGTCACATTGTATACATCAAGAAGTTTATAGATGAAAACAAATATTTGGTTGTATGAATGTGTGTGTATATTGTTCCCTTAAGACATACTGGTGTAGAAAACCCTCCCTTAGAGGAACCAGCTTCAGTGTATTAAGTTCATAAATAATGAAGTTCCTGAGCCCAGAACTTATATAAACAGAAGACTGTTCCTATAAAATCCAGGTGGTTTGAGATCACCAAAACTCCTCACACGAGCTTGGGTAAAGATTACTTAGCCCATTTTATACTGTGTCCCAGCAGCCTGGTATCAGGGCAAGAACCAGAACATGAGAACAGAAAACAGGCTTCCAGATCAAACTTTGACATTTTGTGATTGTAGCCTGACTCCTCTATGAATGTTTCCTTATCTGTAAATTGGAGATGATAACAGAACTATTTCTATATGGTTGATTCTGCATGGTAAAGATGAAAAGAGAGAGCACTTATGTTTCTAGAAGGTGTTGGATGTTTATTATTTGAATCTGTATCTTGGCCTTATTCAGCAGGTTGTTCTGAAGCAAGTCCTAAAGTTATTGCAAAGAAAAATAAGATAATTATTCAGACCAAATTATATAGATAGCATTTCCACATGTCCTGTTTCTCCAGCACCAAGTCTGTGCTCTTCATGGTCATTATATGATGAGAAGGAGATGAGAGTAGTCAAGGTAACATATTATCATGTTTTGATACAATGGCAAGAGAAGACTGAAACCTCTGTTTCTTAAATCCTGAGATCTAAAGCAAGACATAGGAAAAATCTAACCTTGCTTTGTTTTGGTCTTTTCCATGGTGCCTGTTGCTTCTTTCCTCCAGCTGATTCTTCAACATTACATCCTCATTGTCCCTGGATCAGGCCACCCCTTCTTCTCTGGACCTGGCAATTGAAATCAAGAATACGGGATAGCAGGTAGGACTGGTGAAGTAACTGGTTTTATTTTATGTATTAACATAATAATTGAAATGAACAGAGCTATTAGAGGCAACTTGAGGTTTATGTCATTTCAGAAGAGTAAAAATATCAAGTTAATATTTGGTTTAAAAGTTAAAGGTATTTTATAAATAAACATGAAATTCATTACTTAAAATTGTGGCAGTTTTTTAATACACTACTTTTTTTTTGGATCAAATCAATTCCTTTAGACCCATTAATTTTTTAACAGGTTATAGTTGAGGGAGATCGTCTTAAGAAGAAAAAACTTGGGGTGCCTGGGTGGCTCAGTGGGTTAAAGCCTCTGCCTTCGGCTCAGGTCATGGTCTCAGGGTCCTGGGATCGAGCCCCACATTGGGCTCTCTGATCAGCAGGGAGCCTGCTTCCCCCTCTCTCTCTGCCTGCCTCTCTGCCTACTTATGATCTCTGTCAAATAAATAAATAAAATCTTAAAAAAAAAAAAAGAAGAAACTTAAGCAAGTATGAAGGCCAATACATCTGTTTCTATTTCGTTGCACAGTGAGTGCCTTGATGACCTCATTCCCACTTTCGGCCTCTGGTAGACCACTTTATACACAGGGGCTGTTATCAGATGCGGCCTGGTTGTACTGACCGTCACACATGGAGCCGCACGTTCAGAATGCAGTTGAAAAAACAAACCTAACCATCAGTGATATTGACTTTGGCCTTTTTTTTGGCCATCTAGGATTTTAACCCTTTCCAACAAGAGGGGAGTCTTCCCCTCTTACAAAGCTTGATTAAGTCTTACTCTAGAGGCTGAAAGTGGCAGGTTCTCCTAAGCTCCCTGCCGCTTTGGCATGAAGGCCGCATGCTTTAGGGTATGCCACTCAGATTTACTCACACAGTTGACAATGGCAGTTGCAAAAGGATTTCTTAGGACAGATATACTGGATGTACTTTGCATCCTGGATGTACTTTCTAAGAAACAGAGTTCCTAAAGTAGCAGTGGCCCCACAGGTGGTGGCAGTGACCATGACCTGGTACAGAGTTGAGGTAACTCCAACTGCTGCTTGGGTGTTTCCCTCACCAGAAGAGCTGTACTCTATGATTTGGGGCATTGTTCCTGGCTGCATAATCCCAGTCTGGTTCTCCAGGCTCCCAGCAACCCTATGAGCTGCCCACATCCTTTCAGCAAACTCCTATGCTGCTGAAATCAGCCAGAGCTCTTTTCTGTTGCATGCACCTGAGAAACCTGATTGAAACTATCGAAATACATTAACACTATCCAAGATTGAGAAAACAAAAGTCAAAAACGTGTTGGTTGCTCTAGAAAGGACATATCTCATCTATAGCAACAAAATGCATATCAATAATTACCTAGGATAAGGGCTGGGGCTTAATTGGGAAGAGGCACAGGGAACTTTTCAGGGTGATAGAAATGTTCTGTTGCTTAACTGTGGTAGTGGTTATACAGGTGCATACATTTGTCAAAACTCATAAAATGTATATTTTCATTGGGGACATTTTATTCTCTACAAGTTATGCCTCAAGAAAGTAGAATTAAAACTTTTCATTCAGGGGTGCCTGAATGGCACCGTCGGTTGAGCGTCAACCTCCTGGTTTCAACTCAGGTCATTATCTCAGGGTCGTGAGATCCAGTCCCAGGTCAGCTCCGTGCTCAGCATGGAGTCTGCTTGAGATTCTCTCCCCCTTTTCCCATTGCTTGCCCTCCTGTGCATGCTCTCACTTTCCCTCTCTCTCAAATAAATAAATATATATATTTTTAAAAGACTTCACCCATTTATTTGTCAGAGAGGGAGAGACAGCGCACAAACAGGGGGAGTAAGCAGGCAGAGGGAGGAGCAGGCTCCCCACTGAGCAGGGAGCCTGATGTGGGACTTGATCCCTGGGACCATGACCCAAGGCCCAACTGACTGAGCCTCCCAGACATCCCTAAATAAGTCTTAAAAAAAAAAACAAAAAACCTTTTCATTCATGTATTGAGGTCTGTGAAGCAAAATAATAAGTTGGCAGGGGCAAAAAAGGTAAACATGAATGAAAAAGTATTGGTCAATAGCTATATAATTATAAATGAGGAGTAGCAAGAGAGTCAAGGCTATACAGTCTTTGGAGTCTTGCACATTTTTCATATGAGCATAAAGTTACATCAAGGTTGGGCATCTTCTCTAGTCTTTTTTTTTTTTTTTAAGATTTTATTTATTTATTTGACAGACAGAGATCACAAGTAGGCAGAGAGGCAGACAGATAGAGAGAGAGGTGGAAGCAGGCTCCCCGCAGAGCAGAGAGCCCGATGTGGGGCTCGATCCCAGGACACTGGGATCATGACCTGAGCCGAAGGCAGAGGCCTTAACCCACTGAGCCACCCAGGTGCCCCCACATCTTCTCTAGTCTTTTACAACTGATGTAAGTATTACAAGATGAAAACTTTCTTCTCCATAGCAATTGTTCAATTGTTTGACATCTAATGCATTCTATGATGTATATAAACTAAATCGTGGAATGTTAGAGCCAAAGGCCATGAGAAAATTACTTCATCCAGCTTCTTCATTTAAAGGTAAAACAACTGAGGCCTAGGGAGGGGAAGAGAAATGACTTGCCCAAGGCCACACAGCTTTGAAAATACTGTTAGAGGGGGCTCCTGGGTGGCTCAGTCAGTTAAGTGTCTGCCTTCAGCTCAGGTCATGATCCCAGGGTCCTGGGATTGAGCCTTGCATTGAGCAGGGAGCCTGCCTCTCCCTCTGCTGTTCCCCCTGCTTGTGCTCTCTCGCTCTACAAATAAATAAAATCTTTTTAAAAAGAACATTAGTGTTAGAAGTGATATCTGTTACTGTTTAGCAGGGGGGAAATCCCGAAATATGTAAAGCCATATTTTTCTTTTTTTTTTTTTTAACTTGATAGGGATCACAAGCAGGCAGAGAGGCAGGCAGAGAAAGGAAGGGAAGCAGGCTCCCCACTGAGCAGAGAGCCAGACGTGGGGCTTGATCCCAGGACCCTGGGATCATGATCTGAGCTGCAGGCAGAGGCTTTAACCCACTGAGCCACCCAGGCGCCCCATGTAAAGCCATATTTTTATGAATAATTATTTCCCAGGGATTTAGTCATCTCATCTATGCCTAATAGAAAACAAACAGAAAATACCTCTCGTATGTCATAGATAACATGTAAATGTACACATTTTCAGAGTTAGGATGTCATCAAGCTCACATATGTACCTATAGTGACAGATTTCAAGGCATAATAAAAAGTGTGTGGTTAATATAAAGTAAATTAGCATTTTTATTTTATTTATTTATTTAAAAAAGCAACAAAACTACATTAGAGAAAATTTAGAATGTAGATGGAAAAAAACAACTATAATGCCTCTGCTTAAGGAACCGTGATGATCATTCATCTGTATTGCCTGCCAATCTTTTTCCTGTTGAATGTTTTACATGATTGTTAACGGACCTACTTGCATCACCACTTCACCTACATTATAGCACAAGTGTTTTACTTTCTTTTTTAAAAATTGGATCCTTGTGACTCATGTTGATTTTACGGTGGCCACTGAGCAGAGAGTTGCAGGCTTCTCCCCAGTCACACTGATGAATGTGGACCATCTGCTAGTGTTCTTCCGTTCCTCTCTCCACCTCTCATAATCATATACACACATATACACAGAATATACATGTCATCGTAGGTTCAAACGAGACCTCCCTGCATCTTGTTCCTTTCATTTAATAGTACATCATAACAATCTTCCCAAGATAATTGTTATAGATGAAATAAATTATTTTTAGCAGCTCCATAGTATCTGAGGCATGAATGACCTATGTTAATGATTTCTGTCCTGATGTACATTCCCTCGATTTCCATCATTTTGCCGCTGCAGACAGTGCTATAACAAACAGCTTAGTAGATGGAGGCTTACACATTGGTGTTTTTAATGATGTGGGGTTTTAACAGATACAACTAGGCTGTTTCACAAAAAGGCTGTAATTACTCTCATTTCCCCCAGGAATATGGCCTGAGCATCTCCTCTCCTGTATCCCAGCCTATAGTGCCTGTTAACACTTTTTAGTTCTTGTCAGGTGAGTGACAAGTGATATTTCATAGTTACTTTGGTTCATTGCTAGCGCTACTGCACATCTCTACATATCCTTACCGTACACTTGGATTTGCTATTTTGAGATGACCTATTCCTCTGCTTTGCATGTTTTTCCATTGGATCATCTATCTTTTCCTTATAATCTAGCAAGAGTTTTCACATAATAGAAATTAGATTTTTATTTGTTGTGTGAATTTTGAATATTTTTCCCATCTATCTTTTTTGACTTCCGACTTTGTGGTCACTTTTGCTATTGAAACATTTTTAAATTTATGAAGTCAAATAGATCTTTTTTCCTTAGTCTAGATTTCTTGCACCACTTTAAAAGCTCTCTGCGGCCCCAAGATTTTATATACATGTTTCCCTAAATTTTCTTCCAAGGCTTTCGTTATTTTTAAGTGTTTAATTCATCTGGAACTTGTAATTGTATGTGATGCGAGGGAGAGACCGATTTGTTTACCTTCCAGATGGATGGCTGCTTGTGCCTGCACCAGTCGTTACCAAGCCATCCTTTTCCTTCACAGAATTTGAACATTATTTCTGTCACGTTAACTTCCCATATACACAGAGATCTTTTATGGGCTCTCTGTTCCATTCCATTCTCTGTGTTTCAATTCCCAAACCACAAATTGTATATGTCCTTCCGTGTTTTAAAGATATTTGGTAAGGAAGTCAACTATTTTTTTTTATAATTTGCTTTACCTGACATTTATTTTTCCATATGAATAAAAGGATTCCAAGATCATTTTACCCATTACAAAAAAAAAACTGGGCTTCTCATTGGAATTGTA